ATTCTTCCATTCCCATATTCCTTTTCATCAAGCTTTCTTATTATCGTCGACGAGACCGCTCTGATTCGATAAGAAGATGCAAATACCCTTCCACTGATACTAATTCGGTTCATGCTTGATTACTTCCTGGTCCTCGCCTTTTGGTAAGACTTCTCAGGTCTTTCTAATCGCCGTTGCGCGGATCCGAGCAATTATTCAACAAGTGGTCAGCACTTGGAACTCTACTACCACCCATCACCTTGCCAAGACTTGCCAATGAAATGACCCGAAAGGTCGAGGTCGGCCATCGGGCGAAAACTAGCAGGCCACCAGGTCTGGGTCCCATCTCTCTCTCTCTCTCTCACTCCCCGTACCTCTTCCATCCAGGCGGCAGCAGCGAGACACGCATCTCGACTTTCACCAGCTCCAGCCTCCTTGCTTCAGACAAGGGCCTCAATCATATACGAAGTCCAATAGCGGAATAGGCCGTCTCGGCTACACTTGGTGGAAGCAGTCATCGTCACATCGGCCACTGACCCATCTGCCGGTGGAAGATCAATTTGATCAATTCTTCAATGGTCATCCAAGACCGACTCCCAGAGCACGGGTTTCGTCGCGAACTTTACGACACCAAGTTTGGCATGAAGCAGAGGGGCGTTTTCGATGAGCATCTCATCTATCAGTATCCGTACTCCCTAAACCATGCGCCTCGGCTGGTTTCCCTGGCCAGCCACACGTCGACGAGCCATGGGGTTGGCTGCCGTTCCCACTGAGATCGCCAGCATCCAAGGGGGGCTCCATCTATGATCTGGGCCGAGCCATAGGGGCTTAAGCCACTCGGCATCGCCCCTGAGAAAGCTTACTTCTGCTCAAGCGTTCCCGCATGTATCCGTTTTACCCAACCACCAAACGTTGTGTGCCGCGATTTGTCAATATTCGGCCTCCCTTTTTCGACTTATCTTCCCCTCCATCTCCCCAGACCACACGATATGCCTTATGATCCGCTCGCTTCTCCAAGTGGACCAAAGAAGATCTTACAACGTCGTGAGTAAGAGATCGGACGGCTCGTCCCACGTATCGCGTAGCGTACAATGGCTCTACGGAGTACTTTAGAGAGGTTGGAATCCTCAGAAAGAGGGTACCAGCGCGTTTCTTCTGGTAGCCAAGACCCTGGGCAGGGTGTTTCGCAGCATGCCTAGCTCAATGGAACATGTCTAGCCCTCCGAGGCATCCCTTTTCTGATATGCAGAACCGGCGCTTGTGCAGGCTGACAAGTCGGTTGTTGAATGCGACGCCAAATCTGTACCTATGGCCGTCGCACAAGTGTTATCTGATATTCCTAGCCACTTGGGCGAGAGATGGTCCAGTTGCAGCTCTTCCGTCCCAAGACATGGCGTATTAGAAGCACAATGTCACCCACCAAGACCGTCTTATCGTCTGCCTCCTCGATTTCCTACATATCTCGTCCGTTGTGTCGCATTTCACAGACGTCTTGCGTCGGACTGTTACTGTCTTGCTTTCCGTTTCGAATTCGATCTTCCTCCTCTTTCGCCCTTTCGATTCCAGCGTTTCCAGCGCTCCCGCTGTTTTAGTGGTATTCGCGTTTCGATATCACCAATTCCACGCCTTTTTGCACCGGCTGGCTACAGGCAGTCAATTCCTCTGGTTGTAAACATCTGCAATGAAGGCATTTCTTGCACGGGATAGAGTTGCCGAGTCGGCTTCTACGTCCGATGACGAGACCGTGGTCGCCGTACAAGATGGAGTCCGCTTGAATGCCGCGGGCTACAAGGATCAATTAAATCGCCAATATGGTTTCTTTGGACTGGCAAGCATGGCTCTGACGGTGGACAATGCCTGGGTTGCCTTGGGATCGTCCATTTCTGTATCAATTCGTAAGTTCTACAAGACGCTTGTTGCTTGCAAGCCGGACGTTGTAACGAGCCGGGATCAATCTAGTCAACGGTGGCCCACCCGGCATCATTTACGGCCTCCTCGTCGCCGTCTTTTACTACTCCCTCATCGGCTTGAGTTTATCAGAGGTTTGTCTTACTAATCCCAGTCTCCTTATCCCTCCTACCGTTTGCAAAGCAATGTGAATAACAACGAGTGACACCTTTCTCCAAGCTCGCTTCATCAGTCCCCACGGCGGGCGGCGTCTACCACTGGGCCACAATCGCCGGCGGTCCTCGCTGGGGCCGAGTCCTCGGTTTCTTCACCGGGTGGATCAACTTCTACGGCTGGCTCTTCTCGCTCGCAGCCCTGCTGCAGATCTCGAGCAATGTGGCCGTGAGCATGTACGCCGTCTGGAACTGGGACACCTACGTCGGCCAGCCCTTCCACGTCTTCATCGGGTACCTCATCATCCTCTGGGGGTGCGCGGCCTTCATTGTTTTTGCCAACAAGTATGCTCCGTACACCCAGCAAGCCGGAACAATATTCGTATTGATCGGCGGCGTCGTCACCATTATCGTTCTGGCGGCGATGCCGAAGCAACATGCGAGTAATCACTTTGTATGGGGCTCTTTCGACGAGAATAATACCACAGGGTGGTCAGGGGGCGTTGCTTTTCTCCTGGGTGTTCTTAACGGCGCCTTCACGATTGGGACTCCTGACTCGGTAACCCACATGGCTGAAGAGATGCCACATCCCAAGAAGGATCTCCCAAAGGCTATCCTTTTGCAGATATCCCTTGGCTTCGTTTGTTAGTCAACAGTTTGCCAATATGTCGAGCCCACAACTGACCATTGATAGATGCCTTCTGCTTCGCCGTCGCATTGTCGTACGCAATCACGGACATTACGGCTCTCCAAGGAGGCTTCAACTCTTTCCCGCTGACCAACATTTATGTGCAAGCCACTACCAGCAGCGATGGAACCCGAAACCCAGGCGCAGCGTTTGGTCTGCTATTCATCATGCTGGGCTGTACGCTGACGTGTTGCGTGGGCCTGACTTTGACGGTGAGATCACCATCCACTTGAGCTTGTGAAGTTCCCGTCGCTGATATCGTTCTCAGGTTTCGAGAACCTACTGGGCGCTCGCACGCGATAATGCTGTGCCACTATCCAATGTCTTCGCTCAGGTTAATGAGCGCCTGAGCTGTCCTATTTGGTCAACCTTGTTTGTCTGTACGTCACCGCGTTCTCGTCCTTTTCCAACCTCAAGACTTTGGAGACTAACATGGATCATCCAGGCGTCGTCGCAACCGGACTGGGCGCCATACCCCTCGGAAGCTCAGCAGCCTTCCTAGCACTGGCAAGCTCGTTCATTATTCTGACATCCGTCTCATACGCCATCCCATTCGCAGCGAACATGCTCTCGGGACGAAAGTACTTCCCTCGTGGACCCTTCCATCTGGGAAAGGCGGGATACATCATCAACGGACTGGCCGTGCTATTCATTGTCTTGTTTGATATCATGTTTTGTTTCCGTAAGTCCTTGTTCGTTCCATAACTCTGGCCAAGCCTTAACGAGTACATCAGCATTCGTGTTGCCCACAACGGTAGCGACGATGAACTGGAGTGCAGTCATTCTGGTGGGAACTGTGGCGATCACGGGACTGTGGTGGGCGGTCCACGCGGTCCAACATTATCCTGGACCCAAGGTGATGGATCTTTACATTGCTACCGAAGGTGTAAGCCCTGTCGCCACGGAGAAGAACACCACGGCTGTCGCTTCGTCAGAGCTGAAGGAACCTCACGCATTGCAATGAACATGCTGGGACTTATCAGAGAAGAAGGTAGTTGATGGAATTAAGATATGATGAGTCAGCTTATATTGGTTCTCAAAGCTCTTTGAACAGGAGGGACCAAAGATCATATCTTGACGTCTTCCTCAAAAGCACACCGAAAAGCACACCGAGAGCTCGGTAGGAAACCGGTGAATTGACCAACCAGACACGACGAAACTCATCTTACGATACGTACCCCAGAAATGGATGCGTCATGGTCCCTGTCATCCTTATCGATAAGTTATCTACCGTTTGCCGCAAAGAATCTCGAGCTTCCTCGGTCGCATTTCTCTCTTTCCCACCAATTCTCCCACATCATTCTGCTCCCCTTCGTTGACTCTCTCCCCTCGATCTTCGCCCACACCACTATAGGCACCAGCTTCGGCACAATGGGATCATCCTCTTCAAAAGCCGCGCAAGGCGCCGCGCGCAAATTCCCGACCCGCGCTCCGGGCGCTGTACCACCACCGTCAACCGCCGCGAGAGCAGCTCCCGCTGCCCCTCCAACGCAGTCCGCGCAGGCTCAGTCGCGGGCGAAGACGGCGACACTCAAACCAGAGGGTTCGTCTTATTCTCTAGATAGCGGACTTGTATTACCTTCATGAATCCAAAGCTGACCGCCACCACCCAGATCTCACGTCCGCCACAACCACCACAAATCCCGAAGTCACCGCCGAATTCTCCTCGCGCCTCCGCCAAATGGGCATCGTCCAGCCGAACCCAACCTTCTCCTCCACATCAACAGCCAGCGCCGGCCCCGGTCCCGTCGCAGGCAGCCGCCCCGGCCCAAGTCCTCACGCAGACTTGATCCAGAACCCGGGCCCCTTATTCCCTTCCACATCCCGCAACGCGACGCTCGGCACCCTCGAAGCCAGGCGTCGGCTGCAGCAGGAAGCCGATGCTGAGTTTGACGGGCTCGGACGCAGTAGCAGTGGCGGCAGAGAGTTTCTGGATTTGAAGACGATTATCCAGATGCACCTCATGCGCGAGAGGGGACACTCGCCCGCTGAGATTGAGGCGAGGTTAGATTTGAAGGCTGGGGTTGTTGCGAGGTTGGGTCGGATTGGGATCACGTCGCCTGCTTGAGTTGGCTTTCACGCACAGAGAGAGTGTTTGTTGAAAGTTGTTGAAGGTGTATAAAAAATGTAATTATAGGTATACTGCTCTATGAAAACCGCAAAAGCTCCCAAACTCCTCCATAGTCTTTGGAAATAACTAACGACTAATCATTAAAAGACTCAAAATCAATCATTAAACCCGCTTTTTCTTTGTCCAGTCAGCCCCGAGGTGTTTACCAGGCACAGTGTCCGCCGTCGATGCGCAGGTCGCTGCCCGTCATGAAGCTGCTAGCGTCGCTGAGCAGGAACACGGCGGCACCGCGGTACTCACTAGGCTGGCTGAGCCTGTTGAGCATGTTGTGCTTGGGCCACTCGACCTTGCGCTCCGGGTACTCCACGAAGAGCGCCTCGACCATGGCGGTGACGATGTAGCCGGGTGAGATGGTGTTGACGCGGATGCCGTGGGCGCCCCATTCGGCGGCCAGGTTACGACCGAGCTGCAGGACGGCGGCCTTGGATGCGTTGTATGCGCTATAGTGCCAGTGTCAGCCATTTTGATACTGTTTTGATGGAAATCAAGTTTGTTGGTATAATAAGACTTACGGGCAGATCAACCCCCTGTTGGCAACGGTACCGCTCATGCTGGCAATCAAGACGATGCTGCCGCCGGTGCCGAGGCGAACCATCTGGCGCGCGACGGCCTGGGCGGTCATGAAGGAACCAGTGACGTTGACGCCCATCATGCGGTCGACGTCCTCGGCCTTGTACTCGAGCGCGGGGGTCTCCTGCTGGATGCCCGCGGCGGCGATGAGGCCGTCCATGCGGCCGTGCTGGTTGGCGATGCCCTCGACAATGTCGTTGAGCTGTGCGACGTCGCGGACGTCGACCTGGTGGTAGGAGAGCGAGGTGCCGAGCTCGGCGGTGGCGCGGAGGGCGACTTTTTCAAAGTCGGGGTCGGGGGTAGGGAGGCGGTCGATGGCGTGGACTACGGGGTCAATGTTAGTCTTGCGCTTTGCATTTGTGTAATGACAGATTTATAGAGTATATGTCTCTCTTTGAAAAAAAAAAAAGACAGGGAGGGAGAGAGAGTTGAAGATTGTTAGAAGAGTTGATTCTTTACCTATTGCGCCAGCTTCGAGGAGGGCCTCAGCCTGGGTGAGACCGAGTCCGCGCGCGCCGCCAGAGACGACAATGACCTTGCCCTGGAGGCTGAACTCGGGGAGGCCGCGAGCGACCTGGGGGGTCGTGGCGCCGAGGCCGAGGGACTTGGGGGTCGAGTTGAAGCTCCTCTCCTGCGCGACGAGGGGGTTCGCGGGTGCCACGACGGGGGCTTCGACGGGCTGTACTGCGAGTCTGGGAAGTTTCCTTGGGGTCAGATGAGGTCCAATGAGACGGAGTGGTCGGACGCGGGTTAGGTACCGTGACATGTTGCTGCCGGCTTCAACGAGAGCTGCGGGAGACATTTTTCTTCTGCTGTGTGTTTTTGGTGGAGGTTCCTGGATAGGAGAATGGGAGGGAAGAGGCCTTCTTTTTGGCTTCTTCAGGTATCTAGATGATGCGGTTGGTTCCGTGAGAGAAGTTTGATGACGGAGGTGGTTGATGCTAGTGAAGACTAAGACGGGCCGAGATGGGAGGGTGTGTTGGACCAAATGGATTGATAGTTGAAAGTCAATGGAACTCTGATAGAGCTTGCTTATTGCCTATAAGACGAGAGGAGTGATGATGATGAAAAGTGTGTGTGATAGTGAAGAGAGACTAAGTGATTAGGACACCATCGTGAAGTCGTCCTCTTATACATCGTCGAGCTCTACCTTTCACCCTTTTCCCAATGAGATGAGCTTCCCCGCACCCACGTCTCGTCCCATTGCTTCCCACGCCTCTCACACCCCCTCACCGTCTAAGTTCTTCCCGTCATGCCATGACCCTTGGCCCATGGTCCATTACCCCCCATGGCAAGATCAAGATCAGCAATCCCGAGCAACAATGAGCATCCGTTTTAGCAACCAACGGGCTAGCGCCGGCCGTGGCGGGCGAAGGAACAAGGGGATGGGATTGGACTGAAGGGGGAGCTTGCGTTATGGTGAGCTGTCTAGGATTGTCTATGCTAGGTCGTATGTATCGTCTCTGCCGTTTCCGGAAATGGACTGGTGACGAGACGTCGGGCTCGCTCGTGTGCCGTCAAGTTACCGGTAACAGATACCTACTGCAGTGTGTCTACCTAATGCGTGGTATCAAGCTCGAAGCTCCCTTCGCCTCATCTTTTCTTAGAAACGGAAACCCCTCCCACCACTGTTTTTTTGCTGCTCGTTGGAGTCTCTGCGGGACCTGCAAATCTAAGGTTTGTTCGTCCACGCCGGCGGGTACGTTTCGTTGCATGCCATGGGCAGCATGTGCAGCAATGGAGCTCCAGACTTCTCTCTCATCGAGGGCTAGAACCTTCAAAGATGGGTCTGCGATGTCCGAGACAGGTCATGCGGGATGTCAGATTTCAGAATAGAGATTGGAACGCCCCCGCCTTGCCCCCGTGTTCCCGTGTCTCTGTGTCTCTGCGTGGACTCCCCCCGGTTCCCTGGTTCCAAAACTGCTTCCAAAAGCTCCGGGAAAGCAGTTGGACGCGCTCCCGCGTGAGAGTCTAGTCTTTGCTTAGGAGAGAGACATGGGGCCATGGGAACATGGGGGCGGGCAATCGGGAATACTCCACCTTTGGACCCCTCCGCTCGCGGCGGAAACTCAACCGGCTGCCCGCGGTGCGGAAAATCGGTTGGTTTACCGAAAGAACCACATCAGGATTCACCACTTTTTTCAAGTTTTCACTGGCATGAAACGGAAAATGGCAGATTCAACTACCACCCGTTGGGCTGCGAGACACCCCCGACATGTCTGAACTCCAGTCTCTATGTTTCTGAAAAGGGCTCTGGTAAGGCTTTCGTGGGGCTTGGCTTCGTTTCTCATTCCCAAACTCACTTCTGGCCACAGCCGCCACACTATTGGGACGGAACTGCGGATGTTTGTTGCTTGAGCACTCAGACTGTCAGAGACTCAGAGTTGTATCGTGAAGCTTCGTGAGAATGGAGCAGAAAAAATCAAGGGACCTAGGGACCTAAACTGGGTCTAAACTGCAACGTAGGGTCCAGAACTCATATCCACCCCCATTCTCATCCCTGCCTCTGAGTTTCCAGAGTCCAGACCAATATTCACAGATACCTGAGTAACCTTACCTGGGCGGCGGAAACCTACACGTCGGTACACATCCAGATAGCTACTACTGTGCACGCTAGACACTTGGACTGCGCATGTCAACCAAACAGAGACTACTACGGCAAGGTAGAGAGTTTCGAGCGGTGGGGAGACAGCTGCGTCCGGGGGAGAAATGCGGAGTGCAGTGTTGCTTTGCGCATGCGGTCCCGGTCCACCGGATTGCTCCTTTAGGAAATCCGAGCTGCTCATCCCTTTCTCGTCCCTCCTTGATCCCTCCTCGTCCCTACTCACCCCTACTCCATGCCTTTACTCACTGATACCAGAGTGGCAGAAGCTCAGAACGAGTATCAAACTATTTGCCATTTGTGATCATGTGTGTTGTATCTCACTGCCTGCGCCACCAACAAACTGGAACCCAACAAAATGAAGAAGCAAAACCCAAAGATCGGTCAGCAAACCCATCATTCAAATGTCAGACAATTCAAGCATATGATGTCTTCGTGACGCCGCAGGATCAGCTTGCCCCTCCTTCACCCCATCCTCCCCCTATCCCGTGCTCGGTTCCGTACGGATATCCCGTAGGCTATCCCGTACCGCAAGTCCGCAACCTAGTACCCCGGGGCCAGAACAACACAACGCGCAAGCCTGCGAGTGTTTGATGCTCTCGTGACTCTCGGGACCATCGTGAACTATGCCGACACCTCCGGCCATGACCCAAAAGACCACTTATCCTCCAGCCTCTGCACCCCGGCGCCGCTATCGCCATCGCCCTCGCCGCCCCCTTCCCTGGCGATCCACCGCTGCACGCCCCAGAACGCCTTGAGGTACGATATTCCCAGCGCAAAGTCCTCGAACCCGATCGATAGCCCCGTCACGGCCATCTTCCTCCTCACGAATCTGCCCTTGGCATCCGCCGCAGCGTTCGGGGCCGCCACCAGCATCACCCAGAGGAAGATCCCCGGGATCCCCTTCCACGTCGTCATGCTCACGCTCGTCAGGCTGGCGTACGCTGCCTGGAGCATATCAGCGTCGTCGAACCGCGAAATCTGGCTCAGAGACTTGATGGACCAGCTGTAAATCACGGCGGCGATCCTGACAGTCTCGAGGATCCGTTCCTTTTCGGTGGAGGGGGAGGAGGCGACTTGTGTGGGTCTCGTTGCTGCCGTTGCTGTGCCTTGTTCCCGCAGCTTTCCGTATAGCCACGATGCGGTTGATCGAATCTTTGATTTCCTCGACGCCGACGCCCTCGCCGATGCCGATGTGACGGAATCTGTGAGGAACCGCACGTCGTCTAGAATATTGGCCGTCGCGCTGCAGATGCCGAGCTTCTCTGCGATACTCTCGAATCGCGGTGCGGGCGCCAGTAAGGGGCTGTCATAACAGTCTGGCCATGTTGTCGGGACGGGTATCTCCTCGTCACGGGCTGGATCATTTTCCAACCAGTAGAGATCCGTCTCAAAGGCACACGCAATCTCATAATCAGTCCTTTTGGATGGCATGAGCATAACTTTTTATGACTTGATACGAACTCACTTACAGAATTATGATCGATTCGCCTACTACATCTCTCAGCCCTCGCATGCCTTTACGGAGTTTAATCATGCGCTTGATGCCTCTCATGTGAGCAAACATGCTCTCGTCGGCTCCCCAAAACCACTTTGAGAAGACAATCAGCTTCCAGTTGAGAATGGTTCACAAAGCTGTCACCGGGACAAGACGCTTCACTCACCTCCATGACGACAAGATTTACAATGCACCGGACCATCTCAACCGCGATAGCGTCGAACGGTCGCCGCATGTAGTCCGCTATCATTGACAGCACCCAGGACTTTAGGGCGAGCGACTCGGGGCTCTTTGCCACTTCCGTCCCTCGCGCAAGCGACTGGGTCATCGAGGACATGAGGATGCCGATATTGGGAAACAGAGGGGATTGCAGCATCCACGGCAGGACCTCTTTGAGGAACACGGGCGGCTGGCTCTGACCGTCAATCGATACCATGTTAGGTGCGACGAATTGGACGTCTGCGGGCGGTCTCGTCAGCTACCAATACTCCAAGGGTGATGATACTGGCGATCTTACAGAAATGTAGAAGCTCCGTCGTTCTGGGACCTTCCGGGAGTGGCATGCCGTGAAGGGTTGTAACTTCCGTGAGGATGCCACCGATGGATGCTATGCCATTGTGAAAGAAGGCCTGGGGATCCCCATCTCCATCGAGAAAGAGGTTGGCGCGAGTCTTGCTCTCCAATACGGCCCTCTCCTCTTCTCGATGGCCCTCACAGCAGTCTCCCCCGTGGCTTGCGTGATCATGAGTCGCAAGGCACCTCGACCTGAGCTGTTCCCTGCACCGATTTCGAACGGGAAGTCGACCCGGTAAGCCCAGAGACGCGATACCGGGTAATGAAGTGGCACATGGACCGTGTGAGGTTACCTCTGCCTGCTTCCCTGATTTCGAGGGAAGCGAGGATAGGTCAAAGGTGAGGACCTGTGTCTCGTACACGGGTTTCGGGAGACATGGCCCAAGTTGGACAATGGTACACTCCACAGGAGGGAAACGCCTCGAGCAGTTGACGCACTGCGTCTCGGGCTGTCGTATTATGCACTATGACATGTCCATTCTTTCAGTCTTGCATGAACTCGATGGGATTCAAATGATCAGGTTCGGGTCGTTCCTGGGCATGTAATACCGTTACATAGCGGGTGACTTGGTGTTGATCAGTGTTGGACTTTTGGTCAACTCACCTTCTGCTTCCGCCTTTGACACTCGGTGCACGATTTCTGGAGCCTCGCCCGTCTCTTCGCGGCGGTCGGCGGCTTTGACGATTCAGAGGCCATGATACTCGATTCATGATACTCAGCTCAGTATGTTGAAGATGAAGCAAAAGTGAGAGGGGAGCGAAGCACTAGATCCGGCCTTTGAACCACTGACACGCCCTCAATTCAGCCACGGCTGAGAGCTGAATGAGATATAGGTCCATGTCTCGATTGAGAGATAGTACGGGATAAGATGAGTGGACGAGCACCTGAACCAACAGGGCGCTTTTGACATTCTCTCAACACATTGTTTGCTCTGCCTCATTTGTCCCTTTTCGGATTGATGCATTTTGATGCATTCAGCGCCGACTCTCCCCCCCTCATTTTGTGTCTCACGAAGGTCACGTACGATTTGACGATTTGTTTCCGTTACTGTGAGGCGTCGGCCTTTGGATAGATCGACACCAGCTGGCGGCGCTTACTTGCATGAAAAGGCTGCCTGCGGGACAAGACACGGTCTGTGGGTGGGAGTATCCCCGGCGGTGAGACGGGATGGAAGATGCGAGATGAACCTGGCTTTTTTGACAGTTTTTACACCCTAGAAACAGAGAACTGGGTTTCTATAATAGAAAATGAATTCCGCATCACGACATTTGCGTTCATTCTTTCGCCATCAAGCGTCCGTGATCAATTACATTCACTTTGAACCTCAATGACAATCATGGCCGGTCAGACGCCAACGAATATCACCGGCGGCTGCCTCTGCGGCTCGGTCAAGTACACCGTTGCCGGCGGATTCGGATTCGGAGTTGTCTGCCACTGCAACAGCTGCCGCAAATTTACGGGTTCGTCCTTTGGCGCGAACAGCTTAGTAGAGACAAAGGTACGATAAGATGCCCGCACTCCAAGATCCTAGCTATCAATTACTAACCAATTATCCAAATTTTACAGAACCTCACCGTCGAAGACCCGGAGAAGAAGATCAAGGTCTACAAGGCTGGGACGTCCAACTCGGGCAACTCGCTGGAGCGCTCTTTCTGCGGCGCCTGCGGCTCTTCGCTGTTCGTCGTCAGCGAAAAGGATCCCGGCCGGATCGCCGTCACGTCCGGGACGATGGATGACGTACAGGGCGTGGAGGGGGATGGCGTCGAGCTGTGGAAGCCAAAACTGGAGTTCTTCTGTATTCGCAAGGCGAAGTGGGTGACGACTGTTGGAACTGCGCAAAAAGATACGATGTGAACGGTATATACTGCTTCAGATGGCTTCGATTTTGGCGTTAGTCTGTGTTTCGTGTGGTTGTATGCAAGGTGCAAAGCAAGGCGGAAACCACGAAATGCAAATAGCTTCGTCCAGGCCGTCCCGTTCTATCTCGTGACTCAGATGCAATTCGGAGACGGAGAAGGAAAGATATCTGCCCCCGCTCGGAAGGCTGGTTTGAATGATTATTGATATCAATTTGTGAATGCTGCATCACGCCGGCGGACTGGTATCGTCGGCACCTTCGGCCGTGTCGAGCGGCGGCGATGGACTCCACCTGCAAAGTGGAGATCGCATCCTCCGGCCGGGGGCGATCTTTGATTGCTGGAGAAACTTAAGCCGAGCTCGACCGCCGGCGACAACCAACGAGGACCGACAAGGACCAACGAGCTGTTGTTTGGAAGGCTTCCAAGTCACACACTTAGGGGCTCTTCAACCAACTGCAATTCTATTCTTGGCACTGCCATCCTACCTTAGACATACCATCAGAGATCGTCAAAATGACCTCTCATGAAGATGGACCAATCTTCCTCAACCCCATAATCCCGGGCTTCAATCCAGACCCAACAATCTGCGTAGTTCCGGCAACAGACTCAACCCCGACGACGTATTTCCTATCTACTTCCACCTTTGAATACTTCCCAGGTTGTGCTATATACACCTCAACGGATCTCATCAACTGGAAGCTCATCGGGCACGCACTCACACGCAGAAGCCAGATCGAGCTGAGAACCGTCGAGCCAGGCGCCGGAAGTTGGGCGAGCACGCTGCGCTATCGGCCTCAGGAGAAGCGCTGGTATCTCGCCAACGGGCTCTTTCAGAGATATCGACCCACGAATGATGTGAGCAAAGACCATGCCTACAATTTTGAGGCACTGCTTATGAGAATGCATAGGAGCGCATCTTCCCTAGGGGATTCTATGTTTGGACAGATAATATCTGGGATGAAAACTCCTGGTCAGATCCCGTATACTTTGACAATCCCGGATTTGATCAAGATGTGAGTGCTCAGTTCGACCAAAACACGGGCACAGCTGATCGCAATTCCAGCTCTTCTGGGACGACGACGGAAAGGTCTATCTCTCAACAACAGTCCGCATGGGAAAGCGAACCCCAGGCCTCAAACTAAAAGACTTTGCCATTCACATTTCAGAAATCGACATTTCTACAGGTAGGACCCTCACCCCGCCGCAAGTGATCCGTGAATCCCCACACGGAATCGCAGAAGGATCACACATCATCCGCCGGGGAGAGTACTACTACCTCTTTACCGCCGAAGGCGGCACAGAAGCCGGCCACCAAGAGTGGGTTTTCAGAAGTCAGACGGGGCCATACGGGCCGTGGGAGGGGCAGGGTAAGGCTCTGTGGTATAACGGGCCCGAGGAGGAGGTGCAAAGGACCGGCCACTGCGATGTCTTTCATGATGGCAATGGCAATTGGTGGGCCGTGCTACTTGGTGTCAGGCCTGTGAAGGCTGGGGATGAATATCTTGAGCCGCAGATGGGTCGAGAGACGTTCCTGGTGCAGGTTGGCTGGGTGGATGATTGGCCCGTCTTCAATAAGGGTCGCAATATCGCACTCCAGACCGTCGGCAGGGAAGCGATTGAGAAGGCCGCCGTCGCTGATGCTGATGGAGTCAAGTGGAAGGCAGACCTGTCCAGATCATCCCTGGAAATTGGCTGGTATCACAAGAGTGAGTTGGGTGGTCGCGAGCACTGCTTTCAAAGCTGAAGCTGATTTCATCTTTCTAGATACGCCTATCAAGCCCTGCCATAGCCTGACAGAACGTCCCGGCTACCTGAGGCTCTACGGGAACTGCTTTGATCTCAATAGTCCCGAATCGCCGGCGATGATTTTGAGGAAGCAGACTTCATATAGCGAGACCTTCAAAGCTACAATGCTCTTCAAACCTAGTCGGGTAGGGTACGAATCTGGCGTTACCATATGGTGGAGTCAGTACTCCTACGCCACCATTGGCATTGGCGCAGTTCAACCACAAGATGGAGGACCCGCCGTCCCGACAATCATCACGAGGGAGCCTACGGGCAAGGTCAACAAGCTCAAGGTACGTTCTAAGCCGCTTTATAGCTTTCGGCGTTCTTTCTAATGTTAAAAGGTGGCACACCCTCTGCTGGATTCTGCAATACCCGCCCTTAATTTAGATCAGCCGGTAAAGCTGTCCATCACGGCGAGGTCCTCCGACTATGAGATGAGTCTCTCGGTCGATGGGATTACGACGACCAGGATATTCAAGTCGGAGGCATTGACTGTCTTTCCTCCCGTAGGAGGTGCTTTCTGTGGCGTCATGTACGGGATTTACTCATTCGGGCAGAGTGAACCGGTGCTGGATCCTTCAGATTTCACAGACATTGAGATCCTAGAAATTTGAGTCAATTTAATAAGATGCCAAGGTTGGCAAATCTTTCCAGCCCTTCTTCAATGGCTCACTTCCGTCGGATACCAGCTGGTCTAGAGCCTTAAGGAATGAACAGCCAATGAAAGGCTTTGTGAACTTGATACAGCCTAGCCTGGGGCATGCTGAATCCCCCTTACACATCCTTAAACACGAAGGCCTGGATTTCATCCCGGGTTCTTTTGAGTTTGAAGTAAACTCATCTCAACACATGCAAGAGCTGCAGAGACATGGAACCTCCCTTCGGACCTCCTCAACCTCGACGCCACTTGCTATGCAGAATCGCGAGTGCGACTCAAAACCACGTTGCAGTTTGCTTTCCAACAGTCCGAGAGCTACAGTCTTGAGCTTCTGAAAACGCCGTCTTAGCATTCCCATTGTAGTGATGCATCCTATTGTATGCTGCTCTAACGGCTGGAGGACGTAGCTACTGTGCTTGGTAAGCCACAACTTTAAGTGAACATCAAGTGAGACGAGTATACCTGCGTTCCGTTCCTTGAAAGGATTTTGATCAAGTATGAAGTCGATGTCTTCTACCCGGCAGGCCAAGTAGTGCGCTTTCTTCAAGAAACACTCCACGAAAATAGATCGCCATAAACACATTATCGTTCTATTTCTTTTCTTTGCAGGAAAGAAAGCCACATCATAGAGCCACCCCATCACCATGGCATCCTTCATCAAGACAGAACACTACGAACCCTACTCCGAAATCTCCCCTAACACCCTCCATACCCAATTCACCAACCAAAAAGTCCTCATAACCGGAGGCGGCTCCGGCATAGGCGCATCCACAGCCCGCAGCTTCGCCCAAGCCAACGCCGCAAAACTCATCCTCACCGGCCGCACCGAGTCCACCCTCCACCAGACAGCAGCCGCCCTCCGCGCAGAGTCCCCCGACCTAGAATTCTCCCTTCACGTGGGAAGCGTCTCTTCCCCAGACCACGTAGCATCCCTCTTTGCAAGCCCAGAACGCTCCCCCGATGTTCTTGTTAATAATGCCGGGTAGCTCTCCGCACCAGTGAGCTTCGTCGACGCGGATTTGAAGGATTGGTGGCAGGGGTCCACGACTACTGTATTTAGAACGGCGCTTATGACGCAGACGTACCTCCGCCGTCGCAGAGGCTTGCAGACTGGGGCGGAGGACGAGAAGCCTGGGGTTATAATCAACATCAACACGAAGGCTGCGTATGAATTTCGTATCCCCGGTATGAGCAGCTACGGCGCGAGTAAAGCTGCCATGCTGCGCCTGGCGCAGGTTATTACGGACGATGCCCCGGCGTCCGAGGCGTGCGTTATCTCTGTTCACCCTGGCGCAGTGCAGACGGCCTTGCTGGTCAAGTCTGGGCTGAAGCGAAAGATGACGAACAGGAAATTAGCGGGAGACTTTGAAGTGTGGAGTGCTTCGGAGGAGGCGGCGTTTCTGAATGGGCGGATGGTGTGGGTGAATTGGGATGTCCCCGAGTTGCTTTCGTGGAAGGATGTTATCGTCGAGAAGGATCTTTTGAGGACGAATATTAAAGAGGCTTAGGTCTATGAGGGGTTCCTGGCTTGGGGAGGGTTTGATGGCTGTTGTATTCGTATTTTTGACACAAAGATATGTGAAGGCACTTGTACCATGGCTTATAATTACAAACTCTCGAATAGAATGGATCTCAATCTTGAGATATAAGCACGGATTCTTCTCATAAAGTAGGCAGCTTCGCTCCTCGCAAAACTCCAAACTTCTCAAATCCTTCGCTCAATATATACAACGAACTGAAGGCTATTTATGGATTCAGCTAGAAATCAGCAACTCTGCTATAGAGGCCAAGCGCCATATCTTGCCACAAGAACCAAACTGCCACATCTAGTTGGTCTCGGCGACGTGGTTGGTGACCAAGCAAGTCCACTCGTCGGTACCGTAGTAAATGGTGTTACCGTCATTGTGCGACTGTCCGGTGCTAATGGTATCTCCCAGCTGCCAGAAAGCGTCGCCGGCCATGCCCGCGGTGGCGACCGAGGCGATCTGCCATGGTCTCTCGATCGTGCAGTGGTCGGATGGCGCGCCGTCTGTGATTTGAAGATTTGTATCAGTTTAGTTCACCTCATTTGCTTCTTCACGAAGTTTCTGCATCTAGGTTATGACTTACATTCTTCAAAGAAGCAGGGCTTGTTTGCGGCAACGCAGGCCTTTGCGTGGTCGGCTACCCACTTGGCGCCAGTGTCGTATCCAACGCTCCCTATAACACGTCAGTGACCTTTCGATGATACCTCATTATTGCAGGTGGACTAACATGAGTTAGGATAGAAGTGGAACGTTCCAAAGTCCCTAAACACAGATCAAACATCAGCATCACAGCCACCACCACGGAGACGATATTCAGGGGGGCAACATACAAGGTAGTAATGTTCAGCAAACCAACCCAATCCGTTCCCTCACCATACTGATAGGGGTACGAAGTGTCTCCAGGTAGACCCATACCCTCATCGCCGAGCGTCACCATGTGGTTAGGATCCAGTGACTTGACGTAGGCCGACGTGGACTTTGCCCAGTTGTAGATGACGGAGGTCGCGCAGCCCTGGCAGCGGGGCTCGTTGGCCAGCTCCCACGCGAAGATGGCGGGCGAGGCCTTGTACCGGTTGACCACGGTCTGGACGTACTTGAGGTACTGCGTCTGGGCCGCCGTGTTGGTGTACCAGCCGTTGTGGTCGCCTCCGAAGGCGTTGACGTAGGCGTTGATTCCGCCATAGTCGTTCCTGGGACTGCATCAGATAGGTGCCTTGAAGGGGTGTTTGGAGGAGCAACTTACCAGTTGTTGACAAAGTTGATGATGAGCTTGATGCCGTTCTTCTCAGCTGAAGCGACGACGGTGTCCAGGCGTCCGAGACCGTTCTCGCCAGTGTTGATTTGCGAACCCGACGCACTCAGGTACTGGAACCCTGTTCACTCATTAGCTTCCTACAAGACAAACCCTAAGAAAGCTTGGGAATGCTTCATACAGTTATCATACTGGGGAATCGTGTTGACGTCGTTGAAACCCCAAATACGAAGGATCCGGAGACCAGAGGTCTTGAGATGACCCAGGACAAGGTCCACATCGGCCGCGTTGGTGAGGAAACTGCACCAGTAGCAGTTGGTACCGGGGTAGTACTTCGCCACGCCGTCGATGCTGAACTTGGTGCCGACGGCCTTGGGGAAGCCGGTGCTGGGCGGGGTCGTGGCCGAGGACGTCCGGGACGTTGCGCCGACGGACGAGGTGGTTGCCGCGCGGGTCGAGGTCGCGAGGGTGCTGGACCGGGAAGTCGTCGTCGCGGCGGAGCCTGGTGATGCTGGTCAATCTTTTGCTTTCTCGTAGCAAAGTTTATTGGAGAGAAACATACCGGGCAGACACTGCGAGTACCACTGGTTGCTGTACGTGCAGACTGAGCCGGAAACGCAGGTCGTTGCCCCAGTCCAGCCCTGGCCCCCGCATTGGCCATATAGGGGCGCTTGTGCTGAGACGGCGGCCGCGAGGGCGAGGGCACCAGCGACTGCGGACTTCATCTTGAAGATTCGGTCGATGATGGGCGGTGATTATAAGGAGAGATAGACTGGTGTTTCTTTTGTGTCGAACCGGTGGGATGGTCACCCATATTTGTATTCACGAGGGTTCCAGAGCCCGACTCCGCTTCAATAGAGCTGTCAATATCCGGAACCGCCTCGCCGGATCGACGTCTTCCATGGCGCCCCTGTTCAAGAAAGGCTTGTCGTGTAGAGACATCTGAAATTCCATCAATAGCGTCTCGGGAACACGGGCGGATATGCCCATGTCTCATGGAGCCTGGGTCCCTGGATCGACTATGGACTAGTCTGCTCCGCAAATCGAGGGGATGGATATCTAGGAAGGAGACAATGTGGAGAGGCAGGGCCGCAGGAACGGGCAGACAGATGTAGGATTCAGTTCAGCTCTGGTAACGGGTGGGCCGACGGGGCCGGTACAGCTAGGTTTCTGCGTCGTGTTGCATGCTTTGGACGGACATAATGGATGCCTCAGACGGGACTACCGGGAGCCAGACACCCACGATCTACGGTTGCGAATCCCGTCGATCCACTACGCGGTCATCTCAGCGTGTAAGTGGTGAAGAGGTTTATTGACAGCCACCATAGTAATTGGTCAATCGCCGTATGTGATGAGAAGCGATAGCGAGGCCAGTGGCGAGACATTCTGGTCTAGCTATTCCGTAAAGCAAAGAAAATTAAAGGAAAAAACAAGAATGAGGCAGGTTGCCTTTCTTGGTGTAAGTTCCGCCTCGACGTATGGGGCTGCAACGGCGGAGCGTCGTCCGCCGCAACCCGCATTCGAACAAACTCGCCGGCGTTGACCCCGCTAATGGACATTGGCCACGCCGATAGTCGTCTCCAACGGACTCGATTGAGAGCACAAAGTGCCATTTGTCTTAGGTAGTTAGCAGGAGAAACAAGCCGAAAATCCGGCTTTCAGAGAGAAATGTTATTGTTTGTAAGTCTCTTGTGCTTACACCTTAGCCCAGATTCGACAATTCAGGGAATTGCACAAACCTACTTGATTGGATCTAAAACGCACAAGGCCGGTCGATGTTTTGGAGAAGCTGGAGTTCAACTTTTCTAATATGAGTGGACATCATTGTCTCTTATAATCAATGAACCCGAGTACGCATACCTCCGCTTTTATATCTTACCACCTATGCTTCTCACTAACCGACCGGTGATGAACGTAAAGTGGTTGTTAGAGAAGGCCTATGTGAAAGTGCCTGCCAAACTTTATCCAATTACTTTCCCAACCAGCTGGGTGTTTAGCGAACACGCATCTGACTAGAATACACGAGCAAGGCATATGTCCCTCCTCGACTCGATTTCTGTCACCAACGGCAGCAGGCGCACCACAGGCTTGTGAGGCCAGGTCAAACTGCTGTTTGGCGGGGTGGTTGGAGGCGAGCCTCTTACATATATATATATACATATATATATATCAGAAAATCAAGCTACGATTTCACTAGAAGTTACGAGTTCAAACCAAGCATGAGCACCAAGAGATGTAGTCACACTGGTGGTGAACTATTTTTGGGGTTGACCAGCGTTATGCTTAAGTGTATTATTCTTATATGATCTAGAACATAACTTCTTTATTTGCCTAAATGTATCTCAGTCAATTGAGTAACTCATCTTTTTTACTTGTATCCCCGACAAATTCGAAGAAAGCCCGTCGTCGACAGCAATCTTACACAAACGATGTTATCAAAAAGACGACGGGATGCTCAAGGAAGGAAGAAAGGTATTATGGTGTTGCCTTCTGCTGACGCGGGAAGGCGGGAAGGTGCACGGCCCAGTTTGCGGGGACAGCTTGGCGCCACACTCGGACCCTGATGACATAAGACGAGAAGCGGGACGATGACGCGGTGTGCACAGCCTCAACTGGATCATCCGCCCCTGAGCTGCCTCCATCCTCCGTCCTACTCTATAGTGCTGTCCCGCTGCCCATTTCCATATTACAATCCAACTCTTTCTTATTTTATCCTCCGACCGAAACGACGTTTGACAACTCTAAATACTACCTGCCCAATACATACTTACTTATTGCCCCCCTGTCGTCACGATACACCGACCTGTCTCGATCCCATCACTATCTACAAGGCCTCTCCAGTAACCCACCACCAAAATGTCACGCTTCTCCCATCTCGACACAGACGAGGAACGTCTCCCGCACGGCATGCGCCGCGTAGGCTACGACGCCGACACCCAAATCTACACCTACCAGGACGCAGACGGAAGCTACTGGGAAGGCGCGCCCGGCGCTCAATACGGCCAACTCACCCAAGTCTCGGGCGCCTCGTCCAACGCCGCCGTGGGCGCCGAAGAAGCCGAGCCCTTTATGCCGGGCGGCGGCGGCGGCGAGCTCAACCGACGACGGAACCCGTGGGACGATAGAAAAGGGTGGAGGCACGAGATGAGGCCGCTTCTCAACTTCTTTGTGCTGATTGGGCTTTTTCTGCTCGTTCTGACGTGGTGGCTTTACCGTACGCCGTCGTCGTCTTCGGGCGGGGCGGAGGAGGAAGAGGTTGCGGTGCCGCAGTGCGGTGGGCTGGCGGTGCCGTATAAGATTGAGATTGGGAATACGTGTTGGGCTATTGCTGAGGGCCAGAAGATGACGATTGAGGATTTGCTCAAGGCGAACGAGGGGTTGGATTGCGATAAGCTGATTCCTGGGAGCTTTATTTGCATGCCTACCCTAGGGTAAGGTCGTTGGGTTAGTAGGACGGCGTTCTCTTTGGAATGAGGATTGCGGATGTACGCTTGCTGCTGGATACCCCGTCAAGGAGGAATACTCATTTTTTGTCGTTTTGTTCTTGTACCTCTTATCCTTGGTACGTTAGTTTGTTTCTGGGTTTTCATGGTTAGATTTGGTCGAGCTCGACGCTGGCTTCTCAGACTGGTCTCTGAGAGGTGTGGACCGCGGAGGGCTAGATTGTGGCCTGCGCTGCCATTGAACGTTAGCTTCGTGGAATCGACACGATGCTCTGAGATTGAGAAAAGTGATGCAGCCTGTGATACTTGGATAAGAAACAACAAGACACGACGTTGGATTGCTAGACATGTTGGTTAGGCATCGAGAAGCAAGTCGCCAGGCACTCACCATCACATGCAAGTGACCTCGGATAGGGCAGGTTGGATAAGGAAGGCTTATCGCATCCGCAGAGCCCAAGCCATTTTGGACATCGTGAGCGGAGCTTCCCCAGGTTGGCAGGCCGGAGGGGCACTACGCAGTATGTACATACTTACTTTTGCCAAGGGCAGGAAGGGAGTTTGCCGCTTGACCCGATTCGGTGCGAGGGCTGGGGGCTGAGCCGTATTTGTTAGCACGGGCTGGAGAAGCTACATCTTTCGGATGTACCGGCGCACACCCGGGCCCACTGTCGGGTACCTTGCACCAAGTACCGGTCTCTTCCCCAGACATTCCCGTCTCAGCTCCGCTTGTAGTGGTTATTTGGCGGTGGTCGTGTGCCTGGCGTCGCCGCTTTTGATGGCCAATTCTAGTCGAAAGGGGACCAGCTAGATAAGAATTGCACGAAACTAGATACGGCGGCGATGAAACCTCAATCTCTCAGTGTTTCTCGCGTTAATTGAGATCAATTGGAAAGACATTGTCAAGGAAGCAAATCTTACAGGGTGGACCAACGGTGATGTGCTGGTTGCCGACGGGTATCGTGCCCACTGAGGGGGCGAAAAGGGGACTGAGAGGCTGCTAACCTACTCGGAAGGTGCAATTCGTAAGAAGGAGAGGGGCTTTCTCTGGCGCTCGTACGTTGGAAGGGTTTAGCGCTGCCCTTTCCCCAGAATTACAGCGTCTGGGGAAGTGGGACGCTGTGGAGCACCCACTGAGCGGGTCTCCACTTCGCCCCACAACACGGCTCCCCGTCGCTGCAATTCCCTTTCCCCCCATTCGTCCCCCTCTCCTCTTGCGTTGCTTCCCCGTCGTGCTCGTCTGCTCTCTAGGCTCGAGGCCCCCTCCCTTCCCGTCTCCGGCGCTGCTCATCTTCCTACTTTCAGTGGAGTGTTTGCCTGGTACCCCCTGTTCCGTCCCCGCTATCCGTCGGTGTGTAGACAGGTGAGTGAGCAGGGCAACATAGTCCGACACAGCTCTTGGTAGAGGCTGTTCATGCGATGGAAGTGAGAGAGTTTATAAAGTGAGGAATTGTAGAAGCAAAGAAGTGAACAATCCGAAAGGACACAGACTGAAAGATAAACATGGCTGGACCTGGATGGTTCGTGTGGGGTGGCCTCATGCCCTCCTTTTCCGTCTTCAGCAGAGTCCAAGGTTCTACCAGTATGTATGTATGGTGAATGTGTGTGCACCGAGAAAGTCTGGGGAAAACGCGGCACGGTCGGTCAGGGTCTGCCGTTTGTGTCTTCCTGCTTCACCTTTCTTCAGGCTTCATCTCTGTGCGCTTCTCTCCATCGCGCCAGACTCGTCTCGCTGTGGCCAGATTCAACTGCTTGTTCGCTCCTCATGTGGCATGTTCTTCGGAGAGCAACTCCTTGGAGTTGGGCATCTCTCAGCCAGAGAATGGTCTCTGAATTGTCTCTGTTCAATGCGATACCAGCCCATGCTTGCGTCACTCATCTGCCCACCCTCCACGTCGCAGCGTTGCACCAGGCGGCTGGGCCTACCATTTACTTTGCTCTGTCTCTCTCACTCTCTCTCACTTCTCGCCTCTCGCCTCTCGCCTCTGCCTTGCCTCTGGCTCATGCTGCTTGTGTTGCTCACACTCCTCCTCCTCCTCCTCCCACACACGGGGCACCATCACAATTCGGCGCCAGTGTTTGTGCGCTTCTCTCCCCTTGGTATGGTCTCCCTCGCCTTGATGTACTTTGGCTGCTTGGGGTTACCCCCCCTTCCACCAGTCAAACATCCTCATCCGCCCCCCAAACACACACACTCACTCACACCCCCTTCCTTTCATCTGGCAACCTTGGGCTGTGACGGCGACGTATGGATAGACCAAGTCACGCGTGGATGATCTGTCTTACCCCGCACGCTCAGGACGGGAACAACAGAAACCCTCGAGGCAGTGCCCCTGAAGGGCCATAGAGAGAGGGATCCCTTTAAGAAGAGGACATCTGCCTCCTCTTCCGTGGCTTTTGATCTTGTGCGACTTGTCTTTCTATCTCATCGAATCATCTCATCTCGTTCCATCCAACCCCATCATCAGCTTGGAAGGACATATACCTATCACAAGCCAAACCACAACAACAGAGGCTGTATACATCACCAACTATCAAAGTTGCTTCACTCCCATCCACACATACAAACACAAACACAAACACATACACATACACATACACAAAATGGCCCCCCGTATCTCCGCCGCAAAGTCCACAGAGACCCTCTGCTACGGCGTCGCCACCGTCGGCGCCTTCCTCCCCATCTACCTCATGCTCCCCGGCGCCGAGCAGCGCCTCGCCTCCCAGACGACAAAGTGGGCGCCCCGCTGGGAGCGCAACCTCTCCTACTTCACGCCCGCCGCCGAGAGGGGCATCAAGCGCGTCGAGCCTCCCGTCTCCAACATGGTCCGCCGCATCGACAACAGGCTGCCCCTCGAGAGGATGGCAAAGGGCCTCGACAAGAGGATCAAGAACGGTATTGACCGCTTCAACAACACCAAGTAGATGAGTGGCGTCTTGGGTGTTGAGAGGGTGAAGGTGTGAGGGGGTTGAGAGTTATGTAAACACTGTGTATACACTCGTGCCAGCTGGATAAGCTGAGGAGAAGAGTGGAGGATACAACGGAAAGATGATACCACATCTGGCTCTAGAGATATGGAGGATGCATTAGATATCTCATAGAAGACACAGCAACAAACAATAACAAACAAAGCAGTTAAACTTCATATTGTCCCGCCTGTGGGTGCAATGCTATGTGTCGCTAATGACCCAACTCGCAACAGTAATTTACTCAACAGCACTCGCTGTACGGTTTAATCGATGCGTGCCGCCACACAAAAGCCGTAGTTTCACACATTTGGTGGTGGGCATGGATGCTTGCATCTCGCTGCCACCCCAATCTGCAGATAATCAGGCCATGATGAACGACCGCGAACGCAAGAAAGCACTGTCTCACCTCCCACGAGCGGGGTTTTACACTTGACAGTACCCTTTCGTTTCCCCCTTTCCCATGCTGCCTTGGAATTCCCCAATTCTTTTCGTCATTGCCCGTTGGGCGATACAACAATACAACATTACTGTTGTTTCGGAGAACAAAAAAAGAAGGGTTGCAGGGAGCGGCCCGATGTGACTGAATTAGCCGCCGAAGCGAATTGCAATCGACCTGTTTGTGGCCTCATCTTGTCTTCTTTTCTCTGCCACTCACCATGCAAAATCGCGACCGCATCTGCATCTGCACTTATCGGCACGGCACCGCCCGCACACTTGTCCGGGGATTTGTTGCTTTCTCTCATCCAAGGGGACCGGAGATTGATCGATTTCGACGCGATCTCGTTCCATTTTCGTTCCTTGTCCACCGCCCTCTTTCCGAGCCTCGAGGCAAGCCTGCAATGCACTCGCATTCCCGCGTGCATGCTCTCGTAAACGATGGATGGCGAACTCCCGAGGATTGCCAACACTGGTTGAACGTTGGGCACGCCACAATCGAAGAAAGCCGACCGTCCATCATGTATCTCTTGGCATTGCGAACGAAACGAAAACCGAAAGACTCGACCGTCTAGTCGAATACACAGCGTTTTGCGAAGCTGGATAACTTTGGGGGGTCGAACACCAGACACTTGATATGCTTTTTGCCCCCCATCTGCCCATCTGAGATCGTTCCCTGGTGCCCAATGATCTGCCCGACAATGCAAATGCGGCGGGCACCTACAAGTTTGTAGTTCCGGGGAGAGCCACTTGGTGTCTCTGACCGTTGACGAGCAGGCATTCATGCAGGACGGACTGGCCCACTGTCTGCGGAAGACTCTATGCAAACTGCCCGAGTTGTCCTATAAATCGTTCTCGTCAGACCACATCTCCATCATGTCGTAAGTTGTTCCATACCGGCCGCCAAACTCTCCTCTTTCCCAGCATTGGTGCTCGGCAAGACAATTGCTTTGTTAGTGCAACGCGGCCATGAAAACATACTGCTATACAGTCTGTTCGGGACATGGCTGCGTGTAAAAAAGTACTGCCCAATTCACTGGACTTGAGGCTTGCAGCTGCAAACTAAATGGTGGCCTTCATCTGTGAAGCCTGGCTACCATACCCCGAAAGTTGGGACTTCGTCTGCTTCCATGTCGAACAATTTCCCCCGTCTTGAGTTGTACTCTCGTTGTGGTACTTGCCCTGTTGAAGATGCAACGGTAGCGGTCAACCATTTCAAGGTGCTGGTAGTTCTCATAGCCACCGGTGATGTGGCGAGCAGCCTCAACCCTTCATGATGCTGGATCCGCCGGCTCGAAGACGTGAATGTGAGCTCCTTTGTGCTTCTTGGCTGTCTCTGTCAAGCGTTTAGTTCTTTGAAGGGTGTTTTGATGGGCGGTCCCCCGTCAAAACGTATTGCAGTGCCCTTATCATGAGGTGCAATACATTTCAAGACCATCTGTGACCTTCTCAGTGTGCAAGCCAGGACAGGACTGAAGAATGAGCCGGTCTTTCGTGGCAGATGATTATCCGCGTAATGACATAACCGGAGCCATACGAACAGGTATTGAAATGGTACGAAGTGAGAGTTGGTCGAGGTTATGATAGCTTTAGGGAAAAGAACTCGGAGCTATGACGACTATCAAAAAAAAGAGAGCACCAGAAAAGAAGCTCTACCTCAATCATTTGACAAGTGGGGCCATCGTGAAGGTATCTATCCACCTCATCTATGGCCATCTGGCAGCATCTGGGATGTCTGTTCCTCGGCTGTCAGCGGCTGTCCACGGTATTCAACCCACCTGCCAATTTCCAGCGCATGAACCATCACGACGCGAACGCGCTGAACGAGCCAAGCCAAAGTCGCATCCCACCATCCAAATGTCGATCTGTTGACGGCGCACTCGCACATCGTCACCCAATCCCTGTCGACGCTACCGCAAGAAGGCTCGATATGACTCTACGCTCGTCGAGGCGCAAAATTCCTCCAGTCACGAGCTTGTCACGCACACAATTCTTTCGACCGTACCTGAACTGAAGCGCTTTACAACCTCTAAATCAATCATATTCTAATACCATTTTTCCGCTGATATAACGGAGAAACCCTCGACAATGAACTCAATGGCCCTCCCCCGAGCTCTAGCGAGCACCACCTGGCGCGCAGTCGCCGCCAACCCCTCGGCCCCGGCCTCTCGCGCGGGGTTCTTTGCCCAGCGATGCTATGCCACCCGCGCCGCGAAGACGACGGCCGCCGCTGCGCCGGCTACCGCTACAAAGTCCACCACCACTGCCGCGAAGAAGACCACGACCACGACGAAGAAGAGCGTGAGCACCTCTGCTGCTAGCAAGAAGGCTGCTGCTGCTGCCACCACTTCCACCACAGCTGCTGCTGCGTCCAAGACCTCGTCGGCCTCGACCAAGGCTAGTTCTACCGCCACCAAGGCGGCTGCCGCTTCGAGTACGACCCCGAAAGCTACGAGGACTGTCAAGAAGGCCACTACGAGCACCACCAAGGCTGCCTCTGCTACATCTGCTGCTGCTACCAAAAAAGCGGCCACAGCAAAGGCCGCTCCTCCTCCCGCCCCTGCTGCTGCTGCTGCCGCTGCCCCGAAGACGCCCACCTCAGTCCCAAGTCCCGCGCCTACAACAAGCTCTCCCACGACAACTCCGACGGCGTCCACCCCGAAACCGGCTCCCACTGTAGCGGCAGCGGCAGCGGCAGCGGCAGCGGCGACGCCAGCAGCAGCCCCCATCCGGCCCTACGCACCCACACCCTCTCCGCCCCGCGCCCCAGAGGCGGACGCCCGTCCCAAGCTGAACCCGAACAGTAAGGAATACCGGAAAGCGTACGGCACGGCGGCGAGGAAGTGGACCGCGACCATGGTGGCCATGCCCATCCTCCTCGTCACCTCCTACTTTCTCTTTGACAGATGTGAGTTACTCCCCCGCGGTCCCTGCCCGTTAAGTAAGAGGACAATTCCACTGACATGTTTCACACAGTGGCTCTGGGTCATGAAGCAAAAGTAATGCCGGATTTCGAAGGTGCTAAGAAGGCCGCAGAGGCACAGAAAGAGGTGGAGAAGTTTGTCGAAGAAGCACAGGCGCAAGCCAAGGCGGCATAGAGCCGTTAACTATAACTATATTGTAATGATCTTGATGAATACCCACTCCCATTCTTACTTGGCCGGCTTGTATTCCCCCTTGTAATGTTTCGACCCGGCGCCCTTGCTTCTCAACGATGATGAGCCTCAACAGCACAGACGGTTGGTTTCTTGCTAGCAAACGCATGTACTGACCGATCCGGGCTTCATATCTCGAGTAATCGACGAGCTGACTTGCAATCTTCCGTCAAGTAGAAAAAGACGATTCCTTCCAGCCTTCCACGCTATTATATGCATCTTGAAGCCTTTTCATGTTGAGTCTCCGTTCTGGCATCAAGCTACCACATGCGATTGCGCGCTAAACCAACAGCTGCGGCAAGCAGTCCCACGACACAGACACCGCCGAGGACAATGCCTGCGATAGCGCCTGCTCCGACCGATCCAGTGTCAGGTATGGGCTCGTCGGCCGCTGCGACGGCGAGCAGAACCCACGCAACGAGAACGTGGGAGACGCAGGAGGACATTTGAGAGTTTTGAGGGACACAATGATTTGAAACCAGTTCTGAAGGTGTGCCTTTGGAGAAGGGAGGATAAAAGCTTATGTGGTCCTGATTGTGGTAGTTATCCTGACTACTCAGTCGCAGTCGCGAGCTGTCCTTTTGTGATTGTGAGATGCTCATGTTAGGAACTGCTGTAGATCAACGTTTCACGACCACGCCATATACTGATTCGTAGCTTCGGGCGTTGCTGAGATCCAGATGAGGTGGATGAATTAACAGTATCGTTCACGCGTAACGTGACTGATGCGCATGGCACACGAGGTGAGTGGTCCGGGTTGGGAAGTGAATGTCTATGGAATGAACCGGAACTGCCAGTCGGTATACACACAGCGAGATCAGGCCAGCAGACCTTATCAGAAGTCTAGTGCCTTCCCATCGTAACAACAAATATCGGGCCTGGTGACCGAGGGTTGGGAGCCGTGAAGTGCTGACTAGTGCGTGATGCTCCGTACTCTTCAGGACTCCTGCGTTCGAACCTCGGTCCGGCGGGCTCCTGTTGTTTTTGGCTTTTTGACCATTTCCTTATTTCGTCTTGCCTGCTGTGTTCATGAATCACAGAGGGGTATCTCACGATTACTTTGTGACTCTACCGACTCACTAGATGTACCATGCTGAAGGTAATCAGGTAAGATATCCACAGAGATCGTGAGAAGTAGCTAATCAGCTTGCAAAACGTAATACTAGGTTCGCTCTTCATTACAGTCTAGATGCTTCCTTCACCTCCTGATGCTGCTGCTCCTCCTCAGGATTCCCACAGAACGTCACAGTCTTCCTCGGACCCATGATAGTACCACTCTTGGTAAGCAACTTCCTCTTTCCAGCCGTCGACAGGGGCGGATCATCATCCTCGTCCCGAATATAATATGCCCAGTCCGCCGTCTCGTCCAGCTCCGTCTGCGAGTACCCGTTCCCCAACCACGCGAACCTGTTCCCGGCGTACTTGACCTCGAAATCATCCCACCGCACCTCCTTGATGGCTTCAATGTAATGTAGCGTCGAGCCCGGCCACAGCGCCACAACAGGGCCGTCGTCACGAGGCTTATACCACGACCGACAAGAATCCGACCACACGGTCTGCGGCATAAAAGACTCCTTGTAATCCACAAAGTCGCGGACTGCCTCCTCCTTGGGCGTGAAAGAGACGACATTGGTAGTCTGATAGCGATCAATGACCTTGAGCATCCAGTCCACCTGCGCCTCGATGGCAGGGAGGACGGGCCCGTTGCCGATGGGGCAGTTGGGACCCAATATGATGAAGTAGTTTGGGAACCCGGACGCCGCCATGCCCAAATACGACTCAGGATCCGAGGCCCATTTGTCCTGGAGATTCTCGCCCGAGGGACCGACGATGGGGAAGCGCGGCTTGAAGGATGTATCGAAGCCCGTGGCGCAGATGAGTACGTCTACGGGATACTCCCGCCTGTCATCGGCGACGCACCCCCGTTCCGTGATCTCCTTGATCCCGCCGTACACGACCTCCACGTTGGGCTTGGTGAGTGACTCGAGGTAGTTGACGCCCGGCGTCAAACGACGACATCCCACGCTCCACTCCGGAATGAGCTTCGACTCGAGCGCGGGGTCATTGAGCTTCTCCTTCATCTGCTGGATAAAGTACGCGTGCGTGTCCTCGTTGATCTTGTTATTCTTCAGAAAAATTCCAAACTGCCCGTTGAGACCAGACTCGTTATTCTTGCGATACTCGAGGAGGGCTCCCGGCTTCGTCGCAAATTCTGCCTTCTCCGCGGGGCTGAATAAGTGCTGTTCGAGACCCTGGGCGGGCGACACCCAGGTCGGTCTGCGGATGAAGGTCGTCACGCGTTTACACTGCTCGCGGATCGCGGGCAGGACTTGGATGCCCGAGCTGCCGTTGCCGATCAGGCCGACGTGCTTGCCTTGCAGAGAGACGCTGTCGTCCCAGTTTGCGGTGTGAAGTAGCTTGCCGCGGTACTTCGAGAGGCCCGGGATCTCTGGCCATTTCCAGTTGTTGAGGACGCCGCCTGCGTTGATGAGGAAGTCGCAGTGATCGATGATCATTTCGCCTGTGGATGTGTCTTTGACGTGGACGTCGTAGGCGCCGGCTTCCGAGTTCCAATGGGCGCCGATGACCTGGTGTTGGAGCTTGATGTATTGGTATAGTGAATACTTTTTGGCAAAGTTTTCAAAGTATTCCAGGATCTCGGGGGCCGGAGGATAAACGGCGGACCAGTCCAGCTTTGGTTCAAAAGTCCAAGTGTAATTGTGCGACGGAAAGTCGCAAGCACACCTATGAAGATCAGGACTTGCAGGTCTTGGTCTGGGGAAGTCTTTGTTGACTTTGACTGGAGGTGTACCTACCCGGGATATCTGTTCTCGAACCATGTTCCGGCTACCGAGGGGTTCTTCTCATAACACTGAAGCGAGTAGTTGGAGAAATGTCGTTGGAGCTTGTAGGCTAGCAACAAGCCAGAAGCACCTGCGCCGACGCAAATGATCCTTACGTGTCTTTCGCTATGAATCGGAGCTGACGGGCGTCTTGCTGCGTCTCTATCTCCCGCACTTGTGGGTTCTGGTAGCAGGATGTCCCCCATGGTCAAGTTGTATCAAATCAGGATTGTTTGGATGAAGTGGATTATGAAAATTCGAGGTGACACGAAAGTCAAGCTCGAGAAGCCTGTTGGCGAGGGAAACCCAAGAGCCAGATATTTATGTTCAATTCAGTTGGCCGCAATAACGCAATATATATGGGGAAGGGGTACAAGTAAACTAGGAAGTTGATGGGCCCCGTAAATTAACGTCACGTAAGTATCAAATCATCGCCACCGTTGACCGTAGACATACTTTAGCGTTACAAAAACAGACGGTTTGTACGCCAAAGGCAAGCCGCAACCTTGTACGCTTGTTATTGAGGCGAGATTCGAGTCTCACGCTCACAGCTCTTCCTAGGCATGGCAGATATCAGACAACCTCGGCGGTGGCGTCCAAACAGTCCCGGATGACGGCCGCGTGCATTCCATACTGCAGGTGCGGGCAGCATCAACATCAGACGACTGAATGTACAATGCCATCGATGGTAAATCCAAGAGTCACTTCGAGTCAGACTCGTGAGCCGCACAGTGGCTTTACTGACTCAAAAATTCGTCCTGCCTATAAGAAATGAGTGTCATCTCTAAGATATGGCAACCCCTCGGGCCCACCGGAGTATGGAGAGGTCAAAGATGAAGTGGGTGTTGATCGAGATCAACATTGGCCGAACCTGATACGCCGTTCTTGTGGTCCACTATGCTGGAAGGTAGGCGCGAGCGCAGCTTGGCTGATGTCGTCTGTACATGAGCTCCAAGACAAATATGTGTGCTCAAGAGGGATTGGCTGGATACCCTTCGGCAATTGGTCATGAAATAGAAGGGTATTGCCGCCCCGGGAAGGATCTAGTGTCCGCAGTCCACGATGTTGCACTGTATAAGTGATCTCCGGGATATCACATATGACCGCGGACCCCGGTGAAAGCCTGTCATAACAGACTACATGAGGGTAGCAGTGACGACCTTTGCCAGAGGGGCATATGCGGCCTTGCGGGGAAACAAACAGTAGGTGGAAACGACTGCGGGTAGGTCGGAAGACCTCAACCGGAAAACGGAGCGTGAACTGGGGTTATACAAACACCCACATGTCTATTTGACGTTACTGTAGGTCAGATCGAGAATGGCCGGTCTCATCGAAAGGGACGCTGCCCAAGTTCGTATTAACGCGCGGAGGACTACACTAGTTTGAGCATGGAGTTCGTCAAGATCTTCATCACGGTTTTGTTCACAACAATATGTGCCTGCATGGGAGCTGTCCTTGATATGCTATTCGACAGTTGATGATGAGTTGCAGATGCTTCCTGCATGACCGGCCAATTAGATACAAGAGTTGCAATTCATAACCATCACCTCCTCTGGTGCCAAGTACCAAACCCGTTATTGTGTAACCCCATTATCAATTCACAACCTCGATCTCGGACTCTTCGCGGCCTTCTCCAGGGCCGCTGCATCCCTTTTGGACCACTCGCGCATCACCTTTCTCTGAATCTTTCCGCTCGCAAGCTTGGGAACCTCATTGACAAACACTACACCACCGACGAGCGCCTTGTGCTTGGCGACCCTCGGTTTGATCCATTCTTGGATATTTTCTGGCTTAACCTTCCCTAATGAGACGTCCTGGAGAGCCACGTAAGCTCTAGGCCACTCGTTGCCCTCACTACGTTGTGATGTCAGTGTCTTGAGAGCTGCAGTCGTTTCAACATTATGTATGTTGCTTACATCGTGATTCCCACAACGGCAGCGTCTGCAACGTGCTCATTCTCGAGCAAGACGGCTTCCAATTCTGCGGGCGCAACTTGAAGGGCGTTGACCTTGATAAGCTCCTGCAACTTTTGTTAGAAAGTTGTCCGACTTCGAGGACGCGAAGACAAGACCCTTACCTTCTTGCGGTCCACGATCCAGAAGTAGCCATCTTCATTGCAGACGGCGATATCGCCCGTCTTGAGCCATCCATCCACCAACGCCTCCTTGGTGGCAACCTCGTTGCGCCAGTACCCGAGGCAAATGTTGGGACCCCTCATACACAACTCTCCCGGCTCACCAAAGCCGACCTCCTTGCCCTCCTCATCCACCAGCTTACACTCACAGTTTGGCACCAGCTTCCCCACACTGCCAGTGTCGTCTTTGATGCCTCCAGGTACCATGATGCCCCCGCAAGTCACCTCCGTCATGCCCCACCCTTGGTTGATTTGCACCGAGAACCTCCTCTGGCACTCATTCTGCAGCTCCCGCGACAAGGGCGCCGCTCCGCAGAGCATGTCCTTGACGCTCGACAAGTCGTAGCGGGCTGTCTCTGGCCGCTTCGACAGCATGACGAGGATAGGGGGCGCGACTTGCAGGTTGGTGATCTTGTACTTGCCAATGGCGAAGAGGAAGTCCTCGTACCGGAACTCTTTCATAATGTAGATCGGGACATCCAGTTTCATCGCCATGAGGACGGCATAGAGCTGGCCGTAGGCGTGGTAGAGGGGTAAGAAGCCGATCCATCTCTCCCGGGGCCGGTTCTCAAAGGAGTATGGCTTTTCCGCGTATCTCATGTAGATCGTCTGCTCGACGTTGGCAATGAGATTGTGGTGTGATACGCAGACGCCTTTTGGCAGGCCAGTGGTGCCCGATGAGTAGTTGATGGTTGCAACGGTGTTGGTTGACTCTTCCGCGCTCAGCTCTGGCCATTGATATGAGTTTGCCTGAGCTGGTGCGCCAATCATCTGCCTCCAGTCCGGCACACCGTGCTTGACCGGGTTCTCAACCTCGGAGAACTGAAAGACCCGAGAACGAGGTATTCTGGACTTGTCTGCGGCTTCCAAGACCTGATCTAGATGATTTGGGTGGACAAGTACAGCCTTGGCCGCAGTGTTGGTCATTTGATGCACAAGCTCTGCACAGTTTTAGTCAAACATTGGTTGCAATTCAGTCGAGAAAACGTACCAGGAACTGTGTAAGCTGGGTTGGCGCCGCTGAAGACGCAGCCTACGGACACGATACCAAGGTATGCTACCGGCACAAAGATCTGGTTGGGGGTGCAAATCATGACCACATCTCCGCGTTTAAGACCGAGGTTTTGGAGGCCGAATCCCAGTCTCTTCACCCATTGCAGCATCTGCTTTGGTGAGAGGTTGATTTTGTCATCTTTACAGTCGATCCATATGGGTTCATCAGATGGCGTTGACCCTTTGGGGAATAGGTATGAGAGGAGGTTCGTCTTTGGAATATCCAGGGGCGGATAAGGTGAGTTGAAGACCATTTTGTGATTGTTGGTCAGCTCTGGTGCGCTCGGAAGATGGGATAAAGTGAGATTGAACATAGAAGACCCAAGGGTTGAAGGAGAAATTCAGAACTTGAATGAGATATTGGATAGCGCCGGATCGAACTTCACGAAGCTTGAAGGTACACCTCAACCTAATGAGTCTAGAGAGTCAGGCATTATCATGAAATCTGACTACGAACCCCGACAAGGGTCCGCGTGTGTTGTGCCGTCGTCATCCTGTCCAGGTCCTAGCACTCTGGGATGGGGCTACTAACGGCCGTGTCTTCCCTCGGGATCGCCTCGGTAGGGGGGTTTATGCGGGGTAACGTTGGGGAAACCTGGGGTCGAGCCGGCGCCATGTTGCTACCCCGACTTGCCCGAGTTCCCCGGGAGGAGACTAAACCGAAGCGACCGGCAATAGCCCCGGGAAGCTCTTTGCTTTGCGTTTGGTCACTGACTATCTGGATCTGATACTTTTAGTTGGTTGTGGGCCACATCGTCGACCAAGTCATCCCCTACCATGTCGGAACTCAAAGACTTCGGCTCTACTTTTTCCCTCAAGGGGAAGACTGCCCTCGTCACTGGGGGATCTCGTGGGTTAGGTCTGCACATGGCCACGGCGTTCCTCCTCTCAGGTTGCTCTCACGTCATCATCACCGCCAGAAAATTGGAGGGCGAGCAAGGCATCAGCCAAGCCATTGACAAGCTTAACCGTCTCCCCAATACTCGAGGTAAGGCAATCGGAATCGCCGCAAACGTCGCCGACTCGAAAGATATCGTCCGTCTCGTCGGAGAAGTCAAGAACATCGTGGGCGAGAAGGGGCTGAACATCTTGGTCTGCAATGCTGGAGCAGCCTGGGGTTCCAAGTTTGAGGATGCCCCGCCCAGCAGCTCAGTCAAGATTTTGGATCTCAACGTGAGAGGCGTGTTTGAGTTGGTTCAAAAGTGAGCGCGTTGCCATCAGCGAAACATGATACAGTGGCAACTATGTATTGACGCCACTCGAGGTTCCTACCTCTACTCGAGAAAGCAGCGTCAGAACACGATCCAGCCCGGGTGCTCACCGTGAGCTCGACAGCGGGTGGCAATGTACCGCACGTTGGTGAACACGGTACTATCATGTACGCGGCATCAAAAGCAGCTGCCAATGTGAGTTCTTACCTCTCAATGAAATGGCCGCAAGTTGCGGTGTCGCTGATATCATTCTCAGCATCTGGGACGTAATTTCGCGGTCGAACTAGGCCCGAAGAACATCACGTCCAACATCATTGCCCCTGGCTTTTTCCCGTCGAAGCTGGCACAAGGTTTAATCAATAACCTTGGTGGAATCGAAGAGCTAAGCAGAGGCAATCCCCTTGGCCGGCTTGGTGAGCCAGAAGACATCGCTGGTGTCGCCGTGTTCCTGTGTTCTCGAGCAGCGAAATACGTGTAAGTACGGTTCCGACTGGTTCAAGATCTTCCTACTGATATCTCCGGACAGAAACGGCGTGGTCATTGAGATCGATGGAGGGGCGCGGTTAGTTGCTGGAAGACAATCCAAGCTGTAAGACGATGGGCCGCTCGTAAATGGCTAGATTACAGGATATCATATCCTGGTATAGCATGTGTGAACACAAGCGACCTGATGAGACATGAAGATGGGGTCGGCACGGTGTGGCTACGATCACATGGTAGTAGTAATGGCATGACCTATCAACTCACTATTCGGGATATACTATTATGTACGACTATGGCCCCCTCAGTACGTCAAGTTCACCATGACAGTCTTAGGCTCCGTGAAGGTTCTTAGCGCATTGATCGCGCCCTCCCGACCCAGTCCACTCTCCTTGGTACCACCAAACGGCGCCGTCAGGAACATCAGGCTGATACAGTTGATCCCCACCATACCGCTGTCAATCTCTGAAGCAACTCTCAGGCAACGATTGATATCTTGACTGAAGATGCCGGCCATGAGCCCAAAGTTGGTATCATTGGCCTTCTCAATGATCTCCTCCTCGGTTTCGAACTTGTTGATGATGGACACTGGCCCAAAGATTTCCTGTCGAGCAATCTCGGCGTCTTGCGCCACGCCTTCGAACACCGTGGGCTCGACATAGTAGCCCTAGGCTGGAGATTAACAAAAGTTTCTCGTCTGGACAGCGATCCTGGACAGAAGTCCTTACCTTTTTGCCAACTCGGCCTCCGCCAACCAAGAGTGTCCCTTGCCCTCGCTGACCACGCTCAATGAAGCCCTGAACCCTCTCAAACTGAGCTTTGTCGACCAATGGGCCGATGGTAGTCCCTTCAGCGTCCGGGTCACCAACACCCTTGAGCTTCTCCTCCATGGCCTTCTTATACCCGGAGACAAACTCATCGTAGATGGGCGCCTCGACATACACCCTGCTAGCAGCGACGCACACCTGCCCCGTATTCGCCGTAATGGCGTTCGCACACCAGGTGATTGCGTTCTCGAGGTTACAGTCCTTGAACACGACGGCGGGCGACTTTCCGCCGAGCTCGAGCGTCACCCGCTTCATGTTGCTCTTGGCCGCCATCTCCTGGATCTTGCGGCCCGTGTTCGTCGAGCCTGTGAAGCTGACCTTGCGCACCTTCATGTGGCTAGCCAACAGCGCACCCGTGCTTCCGTCGCCAGAGACGATCTGGAACACGCCTGGCGGGAACCCGGCCTGTTCGATGAGGGTACCGAAGGCCAGCGCTGCAAGCGGCGTCTTCTCTGATGGCTTAAGGATGAAGCAGTTGCCCATTGCAAGCGCGGGACCAGCCTATACGAGTTTTTAGTAGCATGAAAAAGCTAAGAGGGAGTCGTTCCGCGTGACTTTATACCTTCATGCCAATACTCCCAACAGGACCGTTCCAGGGAATGATTCCACAGCAAACGCCAAGTGGTTCATTCCGAACAATCTTTAAGAAGCCTACATCCACGTTAGTCAAAATTCGACATCAAAGACACGCGCTATCTCACCATCTTCCTGGGGATACGTCTCGCCGGGAAATTTATCCGTCCAGCCCGCAAAGTACCTCAGACTCTCACTGGCCATCTTCATCTCCAAGCTTCCAAAGGTTGCCCAAGGCGCTCCCAGAGTGAGGCGGTTGAGGTCCGCCAGGACCTGACCGTGCTGCTCGACCAAATCGGCGAGCTTGTTCAGCATGTCTCGCCTCACGGTCGGGAGCGTCTTTTTCCACTTGGGAAAGGCGGCTTCTGCTGCTGCGACGGCGGCGTCGACGTCCTCTTGGCCGCCGAGAGGGACGTCATCGGCTACTGGAGATTCGTCATTGGGGTTGAAGAGCTCTAGCTTCTTACTGTTTTTGGAGTCGACATACTAACGTTCTGTCAGCGACGTCAAGTTTTCTTAGATAATAAACTCCTGCTCACTTGGTTGTTTATGTACAGCTGCTTGGGGAGGTTGGTCTTGCTCCAAGGGAACTCCGACTTGCTGCCGCTCACAGCTTCCTTCAACGACGACCCGAATGTATCCATGATGAGCAGATGCTTTAAGAAAGGGCGCTGTATGAGATAAGACGACGGATCTCGGGCGGAACTTCAGTTAACAACGCAGAGCAGAACGGGCTTAAATGAGCAAATCAATCTTGATAATCTTCTGAGCATCTACAACTCCGGCCATGACCCATTACACAAAGGCTATCGAAGGACCACGGAGATAAGTTCGGCGTCCTCCTTCATTCCGGCATCGCATAATCACAGCGCATGAATGCACCCTCAATGAGGGGATCGTTGTTCTCGCCTGCCTGGAGACGCATGCACGTCCAACTTGGCGCAGCTTACGCAGCCTTCTGTGCCAACGAAAAGCTCTTGGGTTCCACGACACCACACGAGAAACGCCACCAAACTGCGGGGATCTTTTGTTGGACAGAAGGACCAAAGCTGACGATAATACTGGGTCTTTTGTACAAATTGAATGCTGAGTAAGTTGTGACATCCTTAGTCGAGTTGGTTGTCTAAATTAAGCATAACTGATTCGGGAGAACGGCTGACTTTCCGCTGGATCAACGTTCTCCCCACTTTGTTCCTGTGGTTGGGTCGCAATAGTTAATGGCTGTTGAGGCGCAGGATTTCTGAGCGGTACGATAATTGACATGGCTACTGTATAGGAAGTTTTGATGAAGAAGAGATGGACGTCGACCAAAGGAAAGCTCATCCAGCTGGCGATGGCTCTCGAAACCCATGATGAGAGTGTGAGCATTGACTACACTCGCTTACTACTACGATTACTTGATTGTAGTAAAAGACTCAAAGCTCTAGCATTCTCGTTATCTAAGATACAGAGCCCACCTGGATTTCACTGTGGCTAATCCCTAGTCGAATGATATGTACCGCTCCCCGTACTGTTCTGCAAACTTCATACAGCGCTCCTGATACACCTTGTGCTTCTTGATAACCTCATCCGCCGTCTTCATCTCCTCTCTTCCAACCTGATGCCGATGCGCCGCATCAGGCCCGTCCGCAATCCTCACAAAGCGCGCATACGTCCACATTTCAGGGAGCGGCGTATGCTGCGTCAGTCCCTGGCCTCCATACATCTGCATGCACTCGTCGATAATCTTCGTAGCCATCATCGGCACCAAGATCTTGCTCTGCGCAATCGCTCTCTTGCCAGCCTTGTTCCCCAAGAGGTCCATCGTATCGGCGGCGTTCAGGACGACGAGGCGGGCGGCATCCAGCTCGAGACGCATCTGGGCAACGCGCTCAATGTTGGAATCGAACTCGCCGATGAGTTTTCCGCGTGGCTTCTTGCGGGCGTCGTTGCAGCGGATCAGAGCTAGCTCGTAGGCTCTCTCGCATTGCCCGATTAAGCGCATGCAGTGGTGGATCCGGCCGGGACCCAGACGGCCTTGGGCGATCTCGAAGGCGCGTCCTTCTCCGAGGATGATGTTTTCTACTGGGACGTGGACGTTCTCGTAGAGGTATTCTCCGTGGCCCTCTGGGGCGTGGTCATAGCCCATGATTGTCAGGTTGCGAACTTGGCTGATTCCTGGCGTGTCGCAGGGGACAATGATCATAGAGTGACGGGACCATTTTGGGTTGTCTGGGTTGGTGCAGCCCATGAGGATGTAGAACGACAAGTCCTTGTTCCAGAGACAGTTTCCGTAGAGCTTCCTTCCGTTGATTACGTAGAAGTCGCCTTCGCGCTTGATGCTGATTCCGATCTGTGTTGCGTCTGAACTCGCTACGTCCGGCTCGGTCATGGAATAGGCAGAGGATGCAGTGCCGTCGAGAAGCGGCTGGAGCCATTTCTTCTTCTGTGCTTCGTTGCAGTACTTGGCCAGAAGCTCGATATTGCCTGTCTCTGGAGCGTGGCAGTTCATCGTCTAAAGCAAGTTAGCACATCAGTCTTTCCATCAGCCATAATACAAAGACATGTTTCGTACCTGGGCTGCCCAGTAGCACCGGCCCATTATCTCAGCGCAGCATGAATACTCCAAATTTGTAAGACCCGGACTTTCCTTGAAGTGATTGGGTAGGAAGAGATTGAAAAGACCGCGTTCTTTGGCCTTTTTGCGCAGTTCGTGTATCAATGGCGGTGTTGTCCAGCGTCGAGCCTCGAGTTGGGCTTTGAAGACCTGCTCTCTCGGGATACACTCATTTTCGACCCATTCGTACACAGCATTGATCTTCTCAATGGCCAAAGGTGAGAGCTTGGCTTTCACCCATGGTGGCAGGTGAGCAAAAGCGGGACTCTCCATAACTTGTTGACTTGATTATCCGTGGGCTTTGTGGTCGGTAATTCTGCCTGAACTTTTGAGTTGTATCCTCAAAATGAACTTTCAACTTATAGCGAAAAGCATTATAAAGCCTAGAGAATCCATCCAAGCCTAGTGGTACCGCGACCTTGCCGAGACCATCCGCTGCACCGTACCAACAGGCGAGTCCAAGTACCTCATGAGCTCCCCTCCATGGCAGACTCCAGTACCATCCAGAGCTCAATGCGGCTCCAGACGCTAATGATTCAGTGTCCTCGATACATCCTTCAAGTATCAGACGGCCGGGGAACTTGGGGTGGGGCGTTGACCTCGGCCCCTCACGGCTCTGCAAGCTTGTGCGGAGTCCACGCGGGGGAGCTCATCCGGGGACCATCGGCTGTGCGTCAGGATGAGGAGGAGAAGACTGGAACCCGAAACAATACCGCACTCATACACCCATTCAAATCCTTGGTTGAGCGCCCTGATAGGGTGCCTCAGAAGCCAATGAGACCTTGCAGGATTTTCCTTACTATCTGCTCTATCAGGCCAACCTTTTACCAGCCTCATAGTACTCATGCTACGCCTACCTGGCGTTGTTGTACAACTACCTCCTCTATTATCTTCCACGTTCTATCCACTTGTCAATTTACCTTTGGAGGGTTGCATGGGGTTCCCCTGTAGAGATGTGAAGAGTAGAAGTATCTTTGCGTGCTTCACTGTGTGCTCTACTACTATGCTTGTTCCCGCTGCCGCCTACCCCCCCTAGGTCACGACCTTAGTCTGTGTGGTCCCGTCCTACCATAGTCACACTTGGCAGAACAATATGTAATATCATTTTGGTTTTTCTATGTATTGTCTTTCGCCGGATTGAGATAAACCAATGCCATGTAAACTCCGGTTGTTGCACCTCGTATTTGTATGAAGGCATAGACATGCGGATAGTGAACAGTGCAACACATCTGGCAACACTGCCTCCACAGATCTTTTCGTCAGTCAATTCTTTATTGCATGAAGATGACAGGTTCATTCTCAGGTAGTCTTCTGCTAGGATGGACTTTATCCTTCATACTCAAGTCCGTCCAATGTCGACTGCATTGACTTTGTTGTTAAACTCTGCTCGGACTCTTGGGCGGTGATGACTAGATTAAGCTCAAAGTCACGGCGCAGGGCAAGCAACGCCTCAGTGAAAATTAGTCCCCATTCTCTTCCTACTCGTAAGCTGAAGATCCAGCTTTTAAGAGGCACTTGTTGAATGGCGACCTTGGCATGCAGATAAGCGGTCAACAAAAAGCCGGTCAGACCCAATCCTTCTAAGCAACCAACGTTATCAGATTACTGTATCTCTGGTCTTCAACCTATCCTTCTCCTTTCGCAATATCCTGAATCGACGTCGAATACTGAACCACGCAACTGCAGAGGCTTGACCAAGTAAAGGGGTGATAACCGACGAACAACCTAAGTATAGCAAGCGCTCAGCTCATTATTTGCGTGCTCGAAGAGCCACCATGTCGAAGACAGCTGAGAAGCATGCCCTGCTATTTGGTTTGTATAGCCGTTCTCAAATAACTTGCTCGTTCTAACAAGGCGATACAGGCTCAAGTGGAATCACTGGGTGGGCCATCGTTAATGCTATACTCCAAGGTTATCCCAGCCAAGATACCTTTGATTCTGTGACGGCCCTCACCAATCGCCCAATCAGCAGCGAAACCACTCAGTGGCCAGTATCTGAGAAGCTTCACGTTGTCAGCGGTGTAAACATCCTGACACCTGGAGGGCAGGAAGCTTTCGAAACAGATATCCGGAACAAAGTAGAGAATCTCCGGAAGATTACCCACGTCTACTTCTGCGGTATGGAACGTCAGTGACGGCATTTACACCAGTCCGTGTGCTAATACTACCTACCAGCTTACATTATGAACCTCGACCCGGCAAAGGAATGCGAGATCAACACTGAGCTCGTCAAAAAGGCTGTTACTGCCATTGATCGCCTATCCCCAAGCCTGCAATTTGTCGTCCTGCCAACAGGCACCAAGGCATATGGCATCCATCTCATTGATCACTTTCCGTTCGCAAAGAAACTCCCTCTGCGCGAGTCGCTACCGCGAATCCCTGAACCATTTGGCTCGCAACTCTTCTACTACCACCAGATTGATGCGCTGTCTCGGCTTTGCGAGGGGAAGAGTTGGTCTTGGTGCGAAGTCAGAGCTGACACAATTGTTGGCTTCGTACCAAACAACAACATTTATTGCGCGGCACAGACGCTGGGAATTTACCTTACTCTCTTTGCAGAAATCCAAGGAAAAGGAGTCGAATGCCCTTTCCCGGGCAACGAAAAGTGTTGGAACAATCTCAGCCAGGAAAGCAACCAAGATATTCTCGCCAAGATTTGCATCTACGCATCGTTGCATCCCAATGTCACACACAAACAGACGTACAATGCCGGTGACAACTTTGAATCTTCTTCTTGGAGATACAGATGGCCGGTCATCTGTGAGTACTTTGGTTCGAAGGGCACTCCTCCTCTGCCAGATCGCCAGGCTCTTCTGCCTGAGCACTATCTGATGAAGCATGTTGAAAAGTGGAAAGAGATGGAGAAGAAGTATGGCCTTGTTGGCGGTCACATTATCAACGACCGTACCTTCATTGAGCCAACGCATGGCGTGGGAATGATATACGGTCTGACGAACATGCTCGGTTTCGACAGGCAGCTTGACATGACCCAGTGCCACGAGATGTGGGGTTCCAGCAAGGAAGAAATCGATACGAAGAGTTCTTGGCATACTGTGTTCAACAGGTTCAGAAAGGCTCGAATCATTCCGTAGCGTCTCTACGTCTTTCACAAGAATCATTAGTAACGTTGGCTTCAACAATTCTTCCTTTTTGTTGAACGGATCCTGTCGGGAGCTGGCCCCGGCCCTCATTGGGGAGGCCTTGCCGGAGGAGGCCCCGAAACCAGACCCACCCTTCCGGCCAGGTACGTACTTAGACGTACCGTAACCGAAAACAGGATGACACATGCATCCCAGCCACAGTGGCCGTGCGTTACAGTGGCCACCTTACGATGGACGCTGCTGAAATGCAACTTCCGCATTTCAAACATTCCTCGCATTCTTTCAGTCCGACGCTGCTTGAGGTGAACCGTTTAGAGCACCTTGTTGCTTGCAGAATTTCTTCTTCGATTTTTGGTTTCTTGGGGAGAGTTTTCTTCTTAAAGTGAATCGTTCACCTTACTTCCTTTCTTTCTACCGTCCCTGCTCAACAACTCATACGATTTAAACCCGCCCCGCTGTTCCCGCAAGGTCCCCCGTCAGCTGAGGGTCTCCACGATACGGAAGATAAGACCATCACCCCATTAAGGCCGGGCCTGAAGGCATACTCGTGAGGTCGACGAGTATGCTGCTCTTCCCCGATGGCGACGTCAACGGCGACGACGCCAAACGCGACAAGCTCGCCGCCTTGCCCGAGGAGCTCCTCATCGAGACGCTGAATCGCCTCTGCCACAAGGACCTCTGCAATGTATCGCGCTTGAACAAGCGCTACCATAGGTTGGCCGATGCCGTCTTGTACAAGAGCGTTCACTTTCAGAGCCCGGAGCTTCATCTCACTTTCAGCGAATCGCTGGGCCGGCGACCGCGGCGTGGTTCGGCCATTAATGAGGTGAAATTGATTTATCCTAATGAGGAGCTTTCGCGCCTGGCCCTCGACGCACCCGTTCACAACTCTCATTATGACCCCACGCGGTCCGATACTCTTTCGCGCACACTTTCCGTCATGTCAAATCTGGAAAAACTCGACATTGCTGTTCCTCACGTCCTTTTACACGGCATCGGTACCCTTTTCAACGGGCCGTTCGACTTGGCGTACCTCAAGGAGTGCACACTATTCTACCAGTGCGCCGATGACGCCTACTGGGACCTGCGAGAAAACATCCACATCTTTGCTCACCCCACGCTGGAGACCCTGATCATCAAACGAGCCAAACTCGACGAGAAAGGATTCGATTTCATGGAGCGTCCCCACGAGACCGGACTGAAGAAGTTACACCTTCTCGAATGCGACATTAACGATGACGGACTCTCAGACCTCCTCGAATTCCCAGAGGGCCTGGAAGAGTTCGTCATGACGCAGACGGCAGAGCCGAAGCCCGAGCTGGAGGAGAGCTCCGACAACTTTGCCGACTACGTGCTCGCCCTCAACTCCCAGGCCCACTCACTTAAGACGTTCACCATTGACTCGCCAACGCTCGGCTGTCGCAAACCGTTGAGGATGAGAGAATTCGAGGCGCTCAAGAGTATGAGGATGAACTGGGACTACCAGCTCTTTGGAAAGACGTCTAAGAAGCCGCGCATGCACTCGGTCGGTCTCCCACCAGAGATGGAGATTTTGGAGTTCTTCAACGAGATGGGCTCCGACGAGGAGGTGACGGATCTTCTTCTCTACACGATTCAGACCAAAGACGTCGTCGCCAAGGCCTGGAAGACCTTTGTGGTGCCTGAGGGCGACGCTGGAGTTTCATGTGAGATCAAGGAAGCGTGTAGAGAGCACGGCTTGCAGCTGGATATTATCGGGGCATTCGACACAGACGGTGAAGCTGATTAGAAGAAAAAGACTTAGAAACCAAAGGTCAAACAGAGGAGGCTAGAAGACTTGGAGTGAGAAGTCAAAGTAAAGACAGAGGAACAACAAACTATACGTAGAAAAGTATAAACGAAGAGTAGACGAAGATTAGATGACAATAGACGAAGACCAAGACCACATCCAGTATATCCAGTGCTTTGGCTCAGTCAGTCTCTCCCCAAACTCGAATAGTGAACGTGTAGGCTTTTACATCATTTGATTCAATGCTGTTCGCACCAGATGAGCCGGACCGGACATGATCACCGTAGATCGCGGCTCCACTAGTCGCGGTCAGAGTTCGGGCCCACCCGCCGCCGTCTCCGGACTTGCGGAGCCTAGTACGGACCAGGCTTCTCACCCCAGATTTAACATCAGCTGGGCGATGGTACAGTAGACAACGACAACTCTTTTAATCATCCACAACATTTACAGAAAAATAGTGCATCGAGCCACAATTTGCGAACCCAATGAACACGATGCTTCAAACCGGAGTGTCCTCCCAAACATTACCTCTAACTAATACGTCAGAGAGCGTCAAAGAGCATCACGCCATCGGGGGCCGTCCGACCAGCTGTATAAAGGATTATAGAAGCGCACATCGGCAGAGCTCCCACCGGCATACTGGATGCGGGGGCAAGCGGAGAATAGTGAGTACCGCTCAAGCGATATCTACCTTAGGAAGAAGCAAACCAGTCAGAGGCCCGATGGCTATGCATGATAGTCTTTAGGCTTCTATATCACAGACAGTTGACGTAGCTTTGCGGCAGGAATCCATACGTTTCGGATGCAACGTTCTTTCAAATGAGTGTTGAGCTAGGCTTACATGTGATACGGCACACGGTCTTGGTTACTCCGTCTCCTTGAGTCTCTACAAAGTGCGTCAACCATTCAGCCACTACGGTCCACTCCTTCATGGCGGGCTGTTATTCGTAGCACGGAAGAGACTGAACAGGGGGATATGCCATGTTGGATCTTTAAATTATTAAAGCGGGACAGGAAGTCAGTCGAAATTTGACATAATGCCACTGAATTCGTTGGATTTTGCCTTGGGTGATGGGAAACTGGGCAATGGCCCGCCTAGGAGCTTATTCAGATTCTCTTCTGGGCGCTTCAAGCCAAAGCAAGCGTGGGAAAGGGTGCCAATTTCCCACAGAAATCAAAGGCACTGCAAAAAGTCACGCCTCCGTATTGTTTAGCCATAGGCGTGATGTTTCCACCACCGTATTCACCATCGAATAACTAAGCCAGCCGGCTTTTACTCTCTGGCCTCGCTGTCGCCGTTGCTTTGGCCGCTGCCTCGGCCTTTTGCTTCCGAATCGCTGTGCTGCTGATCTTGGACGCGAAATTCTCCGTCTCGCTCGCCCCCTCTCCTTGCTCACTGGCATCCAATACCTCCACTTCAAATGTCTCCAGCGGCTTCCACCCTTGCGCCGTCCGCTTGTCGTTGACAGCCTTTCCTCCCGACCGCGTCTCCCCCGAGTACACGAGCACATCCATCTCCTCCAGCGTGACCGTCGGGCCATAGACGTCCTGGAACTCGACACATTCGACGATGATGGCGCCGTCGCGAAAGGTGGCCTCGACGCGGCCCGGTTGTCTCGACACCGTTTCTGCCGGGCTTGTCTTCTTCTTCCACCCGCTTTTGTTTAGCTCAAGAAGAGATGATAAAAAGTCGAGGGTGTACTTGGTTCTGTCATCCCATGACTGCACGAGCTCTGCGTGTTTCTTGTTGACCAGCATCTGGTCTCCGGTGATGCCGACGATCAAGCGGCAATGAGATGTCGAGTCCTTGACCGGCACCCGGAGTAGAAGTACGGCTGCCGTGAGGAGTAATTTGTGGCCGGGGTGTAAATGGTCGAATGTGCCCCCTAGACAGACGATGTTGTATCCCGGGGTATCTTCTACTGGATCCTCGCTCGATCCCTCGACATTCATACTCAGACCTGCCTCGACAACCACCAGTTGAGACTGCAAAATCGTTTGCCTACTCTCAGCGAACTTGAGATATGTCGACAATGTACGATAGCCTTGTTCACTATTGATATGGAAGATGAAGTTCCAGGGGTGGTATGCCGAGGCAAAGGTCGGCAGGTCCACGACCGTTGTGTTGTTAGGATCGATGGCGGCCTGAAAGTCCGGCGCAAACCTCCGGTTGGCATCGTGGTCCACCAAGACGACGCGTGCGTCAACCGCGCCAGGTCCCCCGTCGACATCGCTGGCAATGGCCTGCTCGGCGCATATCAGGGCGATGAGGCTGTAGAGACCGGCGATGAGAGACTGGGTAGCTTGCCATGACAGCGATTTGGTTTTTGGTGATGCCCCGCGGAGAAGAGGGCCAACGACAGCCACAATAAGTACGGAAGACCGACTTGGGTTCTTGACTTTGGATAGGACTGCCTGTAGCGAGGGACGGTATGCGGCGCTGAGCGAGGCCCGTGATGGTGGCTGGGTGGGGAGCGGGAGGAGCAGTAGGCTCGGGTAGTCTTGAGAGCCCATTCTGGGAGTCGGTTCGTGTTTGCACGTGACGAGTTGCAAAGAGACGTGAACAGTAGACACAAATGGTATACTATAGACAGAATTAGCAAGTAACGGCGATGTGTGCCTCAATCACGGATACAGCAGTTCAGTTGAGTTGAATCCGGTGCTGTGAGCTGTTGTTTCCCTCGGGCAGGTGGGGGTGATTCCGCAGGGTAGGTAGCTCTTGCTGCCAGGCCGAGGTGAGGGGGGACGAGTCAGAGTGTGGGGCTCGCGCTAGCGATGCTGATTCATCCTTGCCGCTGCGGAGATAACGCGGGGCTGCGTCACTGTCATATGATTGGCTAACCCTATCTCCACTGGTCAAGTACGTATCCTGCCGTGTCTTGTCTCTGGAGCTCCTTAACCAACCTCTTTTTGTCATGTTCAACTAACAACAACATGTTGGTCAACTCTACTTTACGCCTTGCTATTAACAAGATCCAGAGAAATCTCAGACTTTCCCTTTCAGTACGATGATGCTCTCTGCTGTACTTTACCTACAATGACGTAATGGCCCATCCTTCCTGGACCGTCAACATGTCGTCAGCTTCTAGTGAAGGGGAGCCAACCCAGCTGCTGTCCGCTTCGTCCGCCGCGGAAAACTGTCGGCAAATCCGCTTCGTCTAATTCGACATCGGATCTCGACGTTCAATGTCACTGCGCCGTCCATCTGCGGCATCCGGTGGACCTCACAACCTTCCCCGCATCCGACGTGCAACCATCTTTGTCAATGGGGCGTCCAGACCTTTTCCATTCTCCCCTCGGACAACATCCTGCCGACATGGATTCTTGTCCTCGTCGTCGTCGTCGTCCCATATGGAGCATACCCCCTCTCTTTGTGGTATCCATATGGCCGACCCAGTCTTGGCTCCTCCGGCCTCCCGTGGCCCACTATCCCCAGACCATTGACTGTGGGTTCGCCGGATATCCAGCATCAAGCTCCCTCCGTCTGGGGTAACGGAGTGCCCTGGTTCCATTGGGCTGCTTTAGTTCAATCATTTCTCCTAGTCTATCGGGCAAGAGTGGGATTCGCCGTCGCGACAAGTGTCGCATTCGCTGGATCATCCCGGACTCCAGTCCCGAGCTCGGAGCTTTCACGAATCCTCCAACGCAGCCAAGCTCTGAGTTCGGATCCGCAATGGCTCGCTGCAAGTGTAAGATTGGGGAAACAAGCTGTCTTGAACCGTCTCCTCGCCATGCACCTCCGCCTGCACCTGCACCATTCCATCCCACCACATCTGAGCTTGCTTGCCCAGGATCCACTGCCCTTCCGCTGTCTCTACCAAGCCGGCATTCCTCTCCTGGCCAACAACCTGAACGAAACCTGAAAGAGGGGTGGCCTGCCTGCGTGACACTCCCAGGGCCCCGTTGTTTGTCGTCACGGTGGGGTCCAGCCTTGAGTCTCGACGCTCTTGGACTTGCTCGTCCTCCATCTTCGGCATTCTCGCCGTTGGACAGCCATTCCCCTCTGATTTTGCACTCGTTTTCCAGTATCCTTCCTCGAACTCGTCTGGGTCGTCACTTGCGCAATTCCATCATCGTGATACCTACACTTTCCCACGTATAATTCCATTAGTACCCGGAAAGCTGTGGCTCTTTACAAAAACGTAGGATACGAGACCATGACCATCATCAAGGATGAAGCCGGGCAAGGCTCAAACGATGATGCCGGAATCACCGCACAAGAAAACACTACTCCTCGCATACCTTCAACCCGCCAAGCCAAGAACCAACAGGTAAGGCACAGAGCATCTGTCGCCTGCGCCTCTTGTCGGGACAGAAGAATCCGCTGTGTAGTTCCAAAGGGCGAGTCGGAGTGCGTCCAGTGCAAAAAGGCCGGTAATGAGTGCGTTATCAAGAATGACGATGAGCGGCGGCGGTATGTATACTTGAGAGCCGAATGCTCCCAGTTGAATTCAGTGTTATCTGAAATGCTGACAAAGTCACCAGACCAATATCAAAGGCGTACATGTCGTCTTTGTCCGATCGCATTGCGATGCTCGAGGGCATGCTGCAGGAAAAGGGTGTTCAACCTCCACCAGCCGTGCATCCCCCGAAGACGAGACGCGAGAACCAGCAGTTATCGGAAGAGCCAAGAGAGCAAAGAAGGTTTCCAGTCAAGAGACCAACTGCCCCCGAGGTCCCCTCGCCTCCGGATTCTGGAAACGATGACTACTCGGTACAAGGTAGCGACCACGCAGAGAACACGTCTACCACTAGCCCCTGCTTCCATGTTCCTGCAGAAGAACAATCTGCATTCCATATACTGGATTCAACACAAGAGAACGTTGTCCACAGGCTTCTTTCGACGAGAGGGAATCTTTCATTTGACCAGCTATCTGGACGGCTCCGCTTCTTCGGCCCGACGGCAAATTCTCATGTTTACTACGCCGACACTAGTGATAGCTCGCGGTCCCGTGAACCATCAGAGCAGATACGGCGTGCTGAACGCATCTTTCGGACACTGACAGCGACGACTCACGACTACCTCATGAACAATTTCTGGACGCACTACAATAGTGTGCTTAAAATCATTCACAGAGAATCGTTCGAATCCGATCGAGAGTCGCAAAGCCCAAAATTCTACTCGTCGTTCCTGCACATCGCAATCTTGGCTATGGGCTTCCGATTTGCTGATTGCAGTCGTGACGACATGAAAAGAATGGCTTTGGGGAACCGGGAGAGCACTTTGCACAGGGAGGCCAAGTACATGCTCGATGTCGAACTCGAGAGACCTGGTGGAATACCCAGCGTACAGGCCCTCCTTCTTCTCGGCGACCTGGAATGCGGCGTTGGCAGAGATAATACTGGGTGGATGTATGCTGGTAAGCCGATCGCGTGCCTCTTCAAAGAACACATAATAATGATGCTTCATCAGGGATGGCGAATAGATTAGCTTTTGACATCGGGCTCCAGTTGGACTGCCGTAACAGTGGTTTTGACGAACAGGAGGTCGACATCCGCCATATGGTGATGAGAGCCTGCGTGATATACGACAAATATTGGTCCCTATTCCTCGGTCGGCCCACGAGCATCAAAAGCCAAGATGTCGGCATGGATCTGCTATCGCGGCGCTTCTCACAGCTCACGTCGCTCATGGGAACGCCTGGGCCCACTAACAAGGAGAATCAAACTGTGGAAATCTACGATCAGCTCGTTGAGTTGATGGAGCTTGCGGGTCGTATCGTGGAAGCTAGAGACAGCCGGCAAGCACCAGCGAGTCTTCATAAGAGAGACGGAGCGGATAGCGAAGAAGATGCGTATGTTCAGAGCACCAACCTCGATCGCCAATTGCAGAATTGGTATAGGCGGTTGCCGGAACATTTGCAGTGGAAGCCTGCCAACATCAAGCATGCACCGTTCAGCTACTTCCTTCTTCACCAGCAATATCACGTGTCGATGATATTGCTGCACCGTTCGTGGGCGAATTACGAAGAGGTTTCTGGCGATACCATCAGCACTGACGCAAACCTTACGCCGAACTCGAACCCTGACTCCAAAGACACATCCGACCACCATCAATTCAATCACTCCCTAGGGACGAACGTGTCACAATCAACCACAGACACAGGCCGAGTTGCATCATCGCGCAGTATCTGTAGTTTCCATGCGATTAGAGTGGCTAGAATCTTCTGGCAACACCGACAACGTTTTGACGGTACCAAGATATTCATCACCGGCATTCAGCACGCCGGTACTGCAGCGATTGCTCTGATTGCGGCACTGGCATATCACCGTTGCGAGTCTGATAGGCGAACGTACCTCGGATACCTAGAGATTCTGGCCAGCGCTATCAGCGACATGAGTCAAGCCTACCAGCCAGCAGCACGCATGGACAACCTACTGAAGGCGGTGCTTGGGAAACTCCGGACCGACAACGACAGTCTCGACGGTGCCAGCCAGCCGCCTATCATATTGACGGGCAGCGAAAAGAGTCTCCTTTCAAGTCCTGGCTGGAGAGGCAACACGGATAGTGTCTACTCCTTTCTACCAGCTAGACGTGAGGCGGAAGTCAGGGACAGCCCACCGAATAAAAGACGTCGCCCATCGACGAGCAGTCGAAGAGCGTCCGAGTTCGCTCGCCCGCCCTTACCTTTCTTCGGCGCCAAGACGCAGTCGTCGACGCGCAGGTCGTCGCAGAGTAACGTGTACGCAAACATCAGTTCTCCCCTAGAGCCCGCGACGTATCATCCAGGCGGAAACGATCATCAGCTATTCAATCTAGACTTTCTCAACGGTTCGGCGATAGATAATGATAGAGAAGGCGACGCTTCGGATGCCAAGAGCAAACCTGTGGAGGATTGCATATTTGTTTCGCCACTGTCCAACAGCTGGGCACAGGACATTACGACCAACGGTAACGCATCGCCGTCTCAAAAGGCGAATCTGCGGTATGGCGATTTAGAACTGGACGATTGGGAGTCTGGAGCATCCGGGATCGGTCTTGAGTCACCATCCAGCTTTCAGCTCAGTGGTGGAGGGGAAAGTGGCCGGGAAAGCCAGCAAAAGGTCCACAAAGAGGAACCCACTCAGAGCAGTCTCAAGAGTGAGGCCAAGGGCACAGTCATGGATCAAGGAGGTTTCGGGCCCTTTGGCCATGACGCCATGGACTGGATGGGTACCGATGGTGGTCTGGACACCATGACCTCTGTGAGTCTGATTGAGCTGGTGCAGAGTTCCATTGCTGGTAAGGCAGAGAGGCGTCCGGCGGACGAAGCGCCTAGAAACCACGAACTGGATTTTTTGAGCTTCTGATTCAACCTTATCGCATGGGGATGCAGACCCGGTTCTTCTTCTTTAGCATCCACCCTCTTTTTCTCTCTCTCTCACTCTTCGTTACTTCATCTTGGGCGTTGGTAGTCCATAGGAGTTTGCGGGCTTGGTTCGTTTCTTGACATTTGTACCTGGGTACGTACTCCTTACATAGCGTTGTAGGTAGGGATGTGCCGGCTGTGAAGCATAATTGAGTAGATATCTTCTTTTGTCAACTACGTGTCCCAGAGCCATCGAAACAAGTGACACAAACTACTCAGATTCTCTAACATTGTCAAGATCACCACGATCAAAACCACCCGCCCTCATCCCACGCCTTCCATCTCACCAACGAGACTAATGAGCCGTAAACCCACCATCAGCAACCAACCCAGACCCCTGCATAAAACTACTCATATCCGAAGCAAGGAACGTGATACCTAGATCAAGAGCCCGTCAGTCCAAGTACCAAATCGAAGATACCGTACTTTAATCAAGATACGTAGTTCAAGAAAGACATCAAGAAAGCAATGACAGTAAAGACTCACAATCAGCAATCTCCTCAGGCTGACCTAACCGCTGCAAAGGCGTCATCTCAACATACTGACTCAGTGGGCTCCCTGCCTCGCGCGAAAAGGGCGTCACGATGGGCGTCTCGACCCAGCCGGGACAGATCGCGTTGATGCGGATGCCTCGTCGGCCATAGTTGTTTGCGTCGCTCTTTGTCAGACCCATGACTCCTGTTGTGGTTCTGTTTTAGTACCTTTACTATGTGGCGTGCTTTACCATGCTTCTCTTTCGAAAGAGAGAAGGTGAAAGGAAAAGGGTAGGGGGCGAGTTGACGACGTACCGTGCTTCGCAGCCGAATACGCCGTCTGCGCCATGAAAAGCGAAGGCGAGACGACGCCAAAAATGGAAGCCACGTTGACGATGGCTCCTCGACCGCGTCTCACTCCAAGGTCCCTAGTCACAAATTCACATCAATACCAAACTCACCAAGAGACACCTGAGCGAATAACGTCGGAAGAAAAGAAAGATAGAAAAAAAAACATACTCCTGCTCCAACATAACCCTAATCTCCTCCCTCTGGCACCTCCACACCCCATACAAATCAACATCCACAATCCCGCCAAACTCCTCCTCGTCAATCTCGTGCGTCAGTTCCCCCTTACCCGCGATCCCCGCGTTGTTGACAGCCACATCGAGGCGCCCGAACCGCGACACCGTCTCCGCGATGCCGGCTTTTACTTCAGCCGCATCGCGGACGTTCAAGGGCAGTGTCAGGACCTCGGTGGAGGGATACTTCTCGCTGAGGAGCGATTTCGTGGCCTCGAGGGCTTGGGCGTTGATGTCGGTTATGGCGAGGCGGGTGATGCCGTTTCGGGCGAAGGCGAGGGCCGTTTTTTGGCCGATGCCTGTTGTTTTGTATTTAACGTCAATGTTTCTCTGTTAATAAGAGGAATTGAGTAGGATGTGCGGGAAAATGATGAATGTAGGTCTTTCTAAGTAAATGAATGGGAGTCAAACGTACCAGAAGCCGCGCCAGTGATGAAAGCCGCACCACGGAGAAGAGACGCCATAATGTAATCTTGCTTGTTTCACTTTTAGAAAACTCACATCTGACAACGGCGTTGAGTGCCTATATACGGGTTTATGAATGCTAATCCTGGGTGCCGACACTGGATGCGCGGATTACTGAGCAATCCGGAGTGTGCCAGCAATGCCAACTTATATGAAAAGTCCCAATGTAAATAAGTTCACGCACTTACACAGTACACCTAAACCAAAACCAAGAACGATTGATAAGACGGATGGACCGGTGAGACAAGCTGCTTCACTCCGCATACGCATCTCCATCTCATCATCTCATCGAGGAAACACGCGCAGCCACCTTTCCTCGGCGGTGACATCGTCCAAGAAAGCGAGGCGGGAAGATCGCGGAGAAGCATACCCAGCGTAGCTTCCCGCGCGGGTCTACCCACACCACGGGATGGACCGCTCCCCGCAGGCCGCAGGATAAAGCAATACCTGGAGTGTTGGCACAAATTTAAGCTTCTATTGTTGGAGGTATCTATCGAACCACCTCCTGTCACGCCATTCCCAAGTCCCCCTCTCTAACGAGGAGGTGGCATTGAGAGATCAAGATAGCGAAGGGTTGAGTGGGATGGAAGCACCTTCGGTCAAGGATACTGTTGCGGCGCCCACCCGACGAGTACTCGCATTCCAAGTACGCCTTTATTTTTGGAAATGGTAGTTTGCTCCTTTGACGATATTCCCAAATGCTATCGCTGGACCATCAATTCGACTGAAATAAGGAGTCATTCGCCACCGGTAATCTCTTCTTAACCCATACTACCTGATAAAACGGATTTAACCAGCCCTTTCGCACCCGCTGTTCCAACTATGGAAAGACAATGCTTGCGTCATGGGAATAACCCTCACAGCATACATTTACCAGCTTTTGGAAGTCAACACTCGTCGACTTTGTTTAGACCTTATGAAAGAAGTTCGACTCCAAGTCTCAGCATGCGGTCTGTTCAGCAGGCAGCACGTCCAAGTTGAACCCAGCCGGAGAAAAGATATGGAAACCCTCCACTGGCGACTCTGAAGTCAACGCAATTAAAGATGCCAGGTTCCATGCCCCGTCGTGCATAAAGAGTTATACCGTCCTCCAACCCAGAGAACAATAAGGTGGAGTATCACGAGAATAACGCTTCCTCGTAAGCCCCAAGTCCAAGGCAATCCGTTGGATAGACGTCTCCCGGTTTCCCGCTCATATGGCGTTATCGGCCGCGTGCCGGCCCCGGCAAGCCCAAGATCAAGAGCAGCCAAAATCACCAATGGCGCCCCGACATTTGGGCTAACTACGTACGGCCAGCATGGGCGCGTCAGGCTGAGCATTTTGCTCAAAAAGAAGCCGAGACGCACAACCGCCAGTAGAGGTCCAGCATTGTAGCGCACAACCTGACCTGCTCGCAATCGGCTAATCATGAGTTTGTGCCGCAAGGCTTCCAAAGGTGTAGCAGGGGGTGGCATCAGGAGCGGGGGCGAGCTCAGAGGTTCATCTTTTAGGGAATCCACACTTTCATCTCGCTCTGGTGTCGTGCGGATAAAGCTATCCTGGCTGCGTTGGGCCACCATTACCTGCGCTTGCGGTCGTAGTCTCGGGGAGCTAGAGTCCGATTGTCTTCGTAGACCTGCCGGTATGTCCGAAGTGGGAGAGCCGCTGTCTGCTGCCCGGCTAGGGATGTTGTACCCTTCCTGGGACGAGGAGAACCTCGACTGCTTCTGTGGATCTGCGACCAAGTCAGTTTGATAGATAGCGTCATCTCTAAAGAGTAATGAGCCACAAACCTGGCACGGGTGTGCTTGGCGGCATTGGGGAGTCTAGACTCTGTATCCGGCGTCCGTTGATTCCCATGGACGGACTCGAACTCCTACCTCGAGGGACGCCGTCCATGGTCGACTCCGTTTTCATAGCTGATAGAACTTCGCTCGCGCTAGGCCGCTGCAACGGATCCAGAGCAAGAAGCTTCTTGAGAAGTTGGTACAACTTTGTCGGAAGATCTGGGCGTTCTCTGCGTTCGTCTTGGAAGCCTTGCCAATCTGTAATCTCCGCTCGTAACTCATCAATATCTTCGAGCTCTTCGTTGATGGTGTTGGCACTCCGGTATGGCAGACGACCGAAACACATAAAGTAGAGAATCATGCCAAGAGAGAAGATGTCGGACTTTGTGGTAAAATTGCCGTAACGCCCGGTCGTCAAGTCTCTCCTCAATACCTCTGGCGCGCAGTAAGAGATGGTTCCGGTGGATCCAGTCGACTTACGGACCATATTCTCAGATTGAACCTCGCCAAAGTCGCTGATCAGGCAGATTATGCCGCTACCCTCTCGATGCAGGAGACAGTTACTTGGCTTCAGGTCCCGATGAATGTAATTGGCAGCATGAAGGTATGCCAGTCCAGAGGTGATGTCTTTGAAGAGCGAGTAAATCTCCTCAAATGACAGCAATCTCTGCGAGGCGAACTGGTCGCGGGGCAATTCAAGCTGGCCTTTTGATTTCCGTCGCATCTGAGCTTTGAGCTGTTCCTTGGTCGTTTCCTTTGGTTGGTCCCCGATGATGTAGTTGAGCAGGTCACCACCATTACAGTATTGCTGTAGAATGAAAGCGCATGCCACGCTGGGACCGAAGCGTGTCAACTTAACGTCCTCGAGCCAGACATGACGGTAAGAGACCAAGTTTGGGTGAGAGAGCTTTGCGAGCAGCTCGACTTCGATGAGAACTGACAGGTTTAGGGTCAGCGTTTAGGACTGAACAAGAGTCGCACATGCATCCGTACCTTTTTCCAACCATGCGTGATCGTCGCCTACAGGCACGCGCTTACACGCAAAGTGACCTATCCATCATCAGTATCTCTGCCAGACAGTCGATTGCTCGGGCTCCATACCAAGTTGACAACCATCAATTTCGTGGCGGACGAGCAGCACCACGCCCTTGCCGCCACGCCCGAGCTCCTTCTCCTCAATGAAGAAGGTTTTGAAATAATTCGGACTAAAAGCATCGCGGCGGATGCGGCTGCCCTCCTGGACAGAAGGTGTACTAGAAACGAACTCGGCGTCTTCGGCTTCCTCGATTACGGCAGCCTGCGGGTGGGGTAAGCTTGGTTGCACAATGCGACGAATCGGGCTGGGCGGGGGATGATGGTCGGCGCGAGAGTCGTGGCCGCCGGCACGGAGCATGCGAAAGTAATTCGGGTCGACAAAGGAATCATGGTGGCGGGCGCTGTCGAATTGACGTTCGGGGGAGGATGATCGCAAAGGCTGGCGGCATGTCGGGCATTCGGACAGGCCACGGATCTCGAGTCTCTGGGAGGACGGGTCACGGACTACTATAGCGTTGCGGTGCCGCCTAGAGGAAAGCACTGTCAGCAAGATGCATTATCTGACCAAGAGGAAGCAAAATGAGGGTAGACCAACAGGACGATTTCGCGACCTTCGCGCGGGTGGTATGGGATCAGCGACATGGCCGGTCGATCTTGGTATGCTACGCTGGGGTCGTCGGACCGACAGAAAGGTCTAGATCATGGCCCAAAAGAGGGCAGCTGCGATGCTTGTTTGTTCGCCAGGCGGAGAAGTTGCTTCGGCCGGGTGTCTTGTGACAGGTAAGCGGCATGGACTGCGAAGGTCGGCGTAGGCGTGTCGGAGGGAGTCGCGATGTTAGGTGAAGCTTCAAGGAGCTACAAAGGCAAGGCGAAGCTCCTGAGTGAGTCAAGACAAGGCGGTGGTCTAGGTGTCCAGGTGAGGATTCCTACTGCGTAGGTGAGGTAAGGTGAGAAAGGTTGTTTTGTTGACATTGAATGACCTCACACTGTCTATGGAGCCACCCAAATACCCCACGTGCCCCGCCCCGGAGCGTTCGAACCGCTCTGCGGGGCGCCCATGACTGCCGGGCCAGAGGAACCCACACTGTGCCACAGCCACAGCCACAGAGCATCCAAGTAACTAAGCAATCACCCTTCACCAACCCTTTCAGTAACCAACTCACCTTCATGTTTGCAATTGCTAAAACATGATCATGTTCCTGTTTGCTACACGAAACCATGGAAGTGGTCAAACATTTGATGATTTACAGTCTCAGCTAGGTGTCATGCGATTTACTTTTGCAAGACAGCAATGTCACGATGATATTGCGCTGAGCTTATTCAGCTTCTCCAAGTTGTCAGGCAAACATACGATATCTGCAATGATGAGGTAGATGAGTCCTCTATACGTATCTGAGATCTCGCAATGCAAGATGAGATGTTTGTCTGCAGCTTCTACTTGAGACATGCCAAGCTGTCATGAGAAGTATCTGTATCCCTCCCGAAGACAATGCGACCCTCTGCCGGACTTATATCCAGCTCACCATGTCTTCCCACATAGTCCCTAGGGATCGTTTCCAAAATGCACTACTAATTCTCTTTCTAAAACCTCGAGACTTGTGTCACAACCCGTCGTTGTATCAACTTATCAAGGGCCTCAGGACTTCGTCGACTAGTGAGCTTCTCCCCCCTGCCCCGTTAACGACGATCCTCTCCAACTCCATCACCACCAACCCCCGGCACCGTGGTGAGTTGACCAGGGCAGTCTCCGTCGCGGTTACACTTGCTGGGCCAGCTCGGGCCCGTCACCAGGGGTTTGAAACAAATAGAGCCTACCTACGGCTACGGATACAGCTATGGGACCACCGCGGCTCACTATTTAACTCCATCGTTTTGTATTACTAGAGGATTACCGTAGTATATATAGACGCTACCCTGCCCTTAAATTCCGCACTATTTAACCTTAACCCTTTTTATAAGTTACTTATCCTTTTCTCTATTTTACCCTCTCTCTTATTAAAGGATTACTAAAATTATAGTTTTAATAGCTTATTAATAAGCTAATATTATTATTTAAAAATAAGTAACTTACTTTTATATATAAATATTAGGAGTTTTATTATTATAAAAATAATAATAAATATATTAAAGTATTTAAGAGAGCTTTTTAATAAATTTTTAATACTATTTAAGGTAATTATCCTTAAGTTATAAAAAGAAGCCGAGGTATTATATTAATATAGCCTTATCCGTTTTATTAATATTAATAATACTTTTCTTAGTATAAGATATATTAATAATATTTTATAATTACGTTATTATATTTTATAAATCGTACTTAATAATAGCGAGGATTTTAGCGTTTTTTTTTAAGTTTTTTATTAAAATTATTATTATAAAGTTAGTTTAGTTATTAATATTTTAATAAGTATTTTAACTTAACTTAGAGGCTTTTATAGCTCTTAATAAGAGGTTTTTAAGGGACTTATAATTAGACTTTTTATTTATTATAAATAAAGCTATTACGGTTAAAGCTATAGTAATTAAAGTTATAATACTACTTATAGACCTCGATAATAAGTAATTAGTAATATAATTATTATTTTTTTATAATAAACTTAAAAAAGTATCTTAATTTAAGTACTAAGTAGGTACTATACTATTTTATTAAAACTATATTCTTATACTTATAACTTAAAAAGAATTAACTTTCTTCGATAATAAGGTACTCAGGACCACCGCGGCATATTCGCAACGGGGCGGCACGGAATTCGTATTAAATCGTACCAACGAATCCTGCGATATGAGCCGAAAAACGACAGGTTTCTCACAATCACGTCGACTAGTTCCAACTTTCGTATCCAGCTCGTGCAATTAGATATAACAGCATCACAAAGCCTCATCAGCCCAACATTATACTTCTACTTAATTCCAGCTACTAAAAGTCAACCCCTACCTCAACGTCCAATCCGAGTCCCATCCGTGCCTTGCATTAGCGACGTGCATCTCTAGTAGCGTCTTTTCAACACTAAAGCGATCCATCGCGCAAGTTTGTCTGATGGTCTAGGTCAAATACGGCAGCTCAACATCGGTTAGACATTAAAAAGGCCTGCCTCGTCGCTTCAAATGACCGTTTGGAGGTGAATGAGAGGCATCATCTATTCACAATTTTGAGCAATGTTGATAGTTTAAACCAATTAAACTCCGAAAAGAGAGAGTGCTCTCTTCCCGATGGGTATCATATATGTCCAGTTCTGCCTAGCTCCTGTGGTATTTAACCCCTTACCGGCTTTTCAATCACCTGAACACTCCTTTGCGCCCTAAGATACAAAAACACTGTACAAACTGAAGAACCAATCGTAAAATCAAAAGGTATCAAAAACGCCACCAATCAAGTGATGAAGACGACCAACGCGCCCGCACGCCAAGTGGGAAAAGGCCACCTCGCCGATGAAAGACACATCGTTCACGAGCGAAAAAGCCCTAGTGAATATCGCGATCATGCAAAATCTGCCACTTGCGATGATACAAATTGATGTGCGCTCTCAAGGCGTCCGCCGACTCGTAGTTATCCGTCGTCCCCGTCGGCACACATAAACAGCACGCAAACATGTTCCTGTCCGAGTGCGACTTGGCCAGGAACCGGCTCGACATGCGGAAGCCGTCCTTGAGAACAATGTAGTCCTTGTTGCCGGGCAGCAGCGGGTTCCATCGGTACCCGCACTTGCACCGCTTCGGCGCGTCGGGGATCGGCTTGGAGAGGTCGACCTGGAGCGTCATGGCCTCTGGGCAGAACATGCTGAAGACGCTGACTTTGGGGCGGAGGAAGGCAGAGGCGGTAGTGCTGGTCGTGTCTGCTTCCGAGGGCGCGAAGATGGAGACGGCGTCGCTGGCGATGGCTTTTGGTGTTGGCGGTGTTGGTGGAGGCGAGGGCGGTTCTGATTGGAAGGGTGCCTGGTCGGTGCTGATGGTCATGGTCATCGACATGTCGTCGTCTTCCTCCTCCTCTTCATCTTCGTCGTCGTCATCTTCGTCTTGAGAGATGATGCTGTGGTTGTTGGTTGACGAGCTACTCGAGTATTGCGAGATGGGCCTCGTATGCCGCGAGCGGGGCTTTGAGATGGGAAGGTGCTCGGGGATGTCTGGGCGTCCGGCGGCGAGACGGTGATACAAGGCACCGAGGGCCTGGACTGAGGCGATTCTGACAGACTCGGATGTCTGTATGATATCTGAGATGTTGAGAATGCCGGTCAAGCTCGAGTCAGAAGAGACCCTGCGTAGGTGAGAAACCCGACTACTGAGGTTGAACAGCTGGTTGGAAAGCATATCCCGGCATGGTGCTGTTGAAGCTGTTAGCGTGGCTGCAGACAGATGGAAACGGGTTGCGACGTCGATGGGGTGGAAACTCACTATCGCCGGTGGAGAAGTCGGTTCCAATAAGAACAGTCGCAATGTCATAAGTCTCCTCGATCTGATTCCTCGCAAGCTCCAACGAGATGCTCAAAGCACATGTAATGACGTCCCTTCGAATACCGGATTCTGATGATTTCCGACAGTAGTGGTTTCCAAGTGTGCGTTTCCTCTTCCATTGGGTGTAATGCTCGGTGCCCTCGGCGTATAACTCTTTGAGAGACGACACAGCCTCATCGACTGTAGTTGCCTCCATTGTTGACCTGTCACTTTGATGGCATGATGGACTGGCGCCGAGAGTAGGTAGGATTTACGTGAAGGAACTAACTTAGTGTTGAAGGGAGTGGAAGTGACGAGAGGGAGAGAGAGGATCGTCTGGGAGGGAAGGGATTAAGAACGGCAGCCAACGGAAACCGGATCGGGAAAAGCAATGTTGGCGGGTGGCCGGCAATCAGCTGAATGGATGACCAGGGCGAGCTGAAGCCTGAAGCCTGAAGCCTAAAGGAAGGGAGGACGGGAGAGTTTTGAGACCGGTGGGAAATGGCAAACAGAGTGCTTATCGGCAGATGGGGGGAACACGACTCAGAACAAGCTTCAAAGCGAGACAACAGATCGAGGAGTGGGTTACCAACAGGTTGGGGCCAAACGGGCGTGCGTGTGTATCTGTTGATGAAGTGGGTTTTCTGGTTTCTTTGATGCTTTGACTCTCGAAGTATTCATAGGCAAGGAAGGTATGGAGACCGGATACATCATACAGCGTACGGAGTTGGTAGGGAACAAGAGTCTAGAGGGTGTGCTCGGGCTTCTTGGATCGACAGGAAAGCCAGGGAGGAAATGGGGGGGGAGATAGATCGAGCGTGGAGCTACGGACACTAGAGCAGAGCAGATGGGCGGGCAAACTTTTTGAGCCAATGTGGCGTTGGCGGGCGTTGAGTTGGTGGACGCCAGGACGCCAATCTCACGACTCGAGGTGCAAGTCGTCCGAACGGGCGCACGGGAACTCGAGGGGGGCGGGTAGCCGACATGACATGAGGCATGGGACGGCGTTGGCGACCTAGGCGTACGGAGTACTGCGTAGAAGACGGAGTAGACGGGGGGGGGGGGGGGGGGGGGGGGGGGGGGGGGGGGGGGGGGGAGGGGCGGGGGGGGGGGGGGGGGGCGGGGGGGGGGGGGGGGGGGGAGGGAGGGGGGGGGGGGGGGGGGGGGGGGGGGGGGGGGGGGGGGGGGGGGGGGGGGGGGGGGGGGGGGGGGGGGGGGGGGGGGGGGGTTCAATGGGCATGGTCCATGGGCAAGGGACATGCAATGCCTGTCAAGTCGAGTTTGGCCAGAGAGTCATGTGCGACGATCTTTTGGATGTGATTCTCGTCTCATCCCGCCGTCAGCCGGCGGATGGTGTGCATGCTGACGATGCTGCTGCAGCTGAGGTTTGGTTTGGTTTTCTTGGGGTCCTTCTTCTGGGGGTTGGTACTTGTTTTGGGGGTCGCAAATGAAGGGAGAAAGAATCGAGAAGGGTGAGAGAGTGTTTGCTTTTGCTCGGAAGGGACCGGGAGAATTTTTCCATGTTGGCAGCTCGCTAATGAGTAAAACATACGGTCAAGTGAGTACTGTTAGTAAGAATAGGTAAAACAAGAGGAAATACTCCCGGGACGACTTGCTGTGCCAGGAACAGAGATGGCCAGGATGAATGCAGGGCAAGGCAGGCTGGGGCCATGGGAGCATGGGACCAGGCCAAAGTCGCCAAAGAAAAGTCGCTTCTATTCGTTGGGATAATACTATGCCACCGTATTGAAGGCGAGGCGAGTCGAGGCGAGTCGGAGGATCCCACGCGTGCGGTTCCAATTGGCAATCCGTTGCTGTTGGTGCTGCTGCTGTTGCTATGCCTGCCGGTGACTTCAAACAAACCACCCAATCCTTGATTCCGTGATGACAAGGTTAAGGTAAATGTGACAAGACAGAGAGAGAGAGAGAGAGACTGAAAGTTGGGAGTTTCGTCCGAATGACGACGACGTGACCGGGGTCCCGCCCATCCCGCAAAGAAGTCAAGAGTTCAGACGTGTCATTCGCGTCAAAGAAAGATGGGCTCAGATGGCACCGATGGCACCTTGGGGATCCAATGCGACCGCGCCGTCTGTGCTCAAGCTCAGGGTGGACACGCCGCACTTTGCACCATACTATGTACACAGTAATGAATGATGGCACATGGATCCTGACACCCATCAATCTATCAAACGGTCAGCAACCTTGCACCTTGTCCGGTTCGCAGAAACTCGACGGGAAATCCACGGCCAGTCCGGTTCAGTTCGATTCAGTTCTGTCTGCTATCTGGTAATGTCCCTGTCATTGTTGACTGTTGACTGTCCTGAGGCAATATAGAGACACGAAAGAGAGTGATTGAGTGGGAAATGAGTCCATTGAAGAAAGGCTGAAGAGGAAATTAGCGTGCTGACTGGGCGGGCGCTACGCTTCCAAACTCCTACCTCAGTTCGGAGTACTTA